TTGCAGGGGTGGCTAGAGTTAGGGTTGTATCTCCCAGGGATGGATAGAGTAAGGGTTGTATCTTCAAGGGAAGGATAGAGTAAGGGTTGTATCTTCAAGGGAAGGATAGAGTAAGGGTTGTATCTTCAAGGGAAGGGTAGAGTAAGGGTTGTATCTTTCAGGGATGGATAGAATAAGGGTTGTATCTTCCAGGGATGGATAGAGTTAGGGTTGTATCTTCCAGGGATGGATAGAGTAAGGGTTGTATCTTCAAGGGAAGGGTAGAGTAAGGGTTGTATCTTCCAGGGATGGATAGAGTAAGGGTTGTATCTTCCAGGGATGGATAGAGTAAGGGTTGTTTCTTCAAGGGAAGGGTAGAGTAAGGGTTGTATCTTCCAGGGATGGATAGAATAAGGGTTGTATCTTCTAGGGATTATTAGAGTAAGGGTTGTATCTTCCAGGGATGGATAGAGTTATCGTTGTTTCTCCCAGGGATGGATAGAGTTAGGGTTGTATCTTCCAGGGATGGCTAGAGTAAAGGTTGTATCTTCAAGGGAAGGGTAGAGTAAGGGTTGTATCTTCCAGGGATGGATAGAATAAGGGTTGTATCTTCCAGGGATGGATAGAGTAAGGGTTGTTTCTTCAGGGGAAGGGTAGAGTAAGGGTTGTATCTTCCAGGGATGGATAGAATAAGGGTTGTATCTTCCAGGGATTATTAGAGTAAGGGTTGTATCTTCCAGGGATGGATAGAGTTATCGTTGTATCTCCCAGGGATGGATAGAGTTAGGGTTGTATCTTCCAGGGATGGCTAGAGTAAAGGTTGTATCTTCAAGGGAAGGGTAGAGTAAGGGTTGTATCTTCCAGGGATGGATAGAATAAGGGTTGTATCTTCCAGGGATGGATAGAGTAAGGGTTGTTTCTTCAAGGGAAGGGTAGAGTAAGGGTTGTATCTTCCAGGGATGGATAGAATAAGGGTTGTATCTTCCAGGGATTATTAGAGTAAGGGTTGTATCTTCCAGGGATGGATAGAGTTAGGGTTGTATCTCCCAGGGATGGATAGAGTAAGGGTTGTTTCTTCAAGGGAAGGGTAGAGTAAGGGTTGTATCTTCCAGGGATGGATAGAATAAGGGTTGTATCTTCCAGGGATTATTAGAGTAAGGGTTGTATCTTCCAGGGATGGATAGAGTTAGGGTTGTATCTTCCAGGGATGGATAGAGTTAGGTTTGTATCTCCCAGGGATGGATAGAGTAAAGGTTGTATCTTCAAGGGAAGGGTAGAGTAAGGGTTGTATCTTCCAGGGATGGATAGAATAAGGGTTGTATCTTCCAGGGATGGATAGAGTAAGGGTTGTTTCTTCAAGGGAAGGGTAGAGTAAGGGTTGTATCTTCCAGGGATGGATAGAATAAGGGTTGTATCTTCCAGGGATTATTAGAGTAAGGGTTGTATCTTCCAGGGATGGATAGAGTTAGGGTTGTATCTCCCAGGGATGGATAGAGTAAGGGTTGTTTCTTCAAGGGAAGGGTAGAGTAAGGGTTGTATCTTCCAGGGATGGATAGAATAAGGGTTGTATCTTCCAGGGATTATTAGAGTAAGGGTTGTATCTTCCAGGGATGGATAGAGTTAGGGTTGTATCTTCCAGGGATGGATAGAGTTAGGTTTGTATCTCCCAGGGATGGATAGAGTTATCGTTGTATCTTCCAGGGATGGATAGAGTAAGGGTTGTATCTTCCAGGGATGGATAGAGTTAGGGTTGTATCTTCCAGGGATGGATAGAGTAAGGGTTGTATCTTCCAGGGATTGCTAGAGTAAAGGTTGTATCTTCAAGGGAAGGGTAGAGTAAGGGTTGTATCTTCAAGGGAAGGGTAGAGTAAGGTTGTATCTCCCAGGGATGGATAGAGTAAGGGTTGTATCTTCAAGGGAAGGGTAGAGTAAGGGTTGTTTCTTCCAGGGATGGATAGAGTAAGGGTTGTTTCTTCAAGGGATGGATAGAATAAGGGTTGTATCTTCAAGGGAAGGGTAGAGTAAGGGTTGTATCTTTCAGGGATGGATAGAATAAGGGTTGTATCTTCCAGGGATGGATAGAGTTAGGGTTGTATCTTCCAGGGATGGATAGAGTAAGGGTTGTATCTTCAAGGGAAGGGTAGAGTAAGGGTTGTATCTTCCAGGGATGGATAGAGTAAGGGTTGTATCTTCCAGGGATGGATAGAGTAAGGGTTGTTTCTTCAAGGGAAGGGTAGAGTAAGGGTTGTATCTTCCAGGGATGGATAGAATAAGGGTTGTATCTCCCAGGGATGGATAGAGTTAGGGTTGTATCTTCCAGGGATGGCTAGAGTAAAGGTTGTATCTTCAAGGGAAGGGTAGAGTAAGGGTTGTATCTTCCAGGGATGGATAGAATAAGGGTTGTATCTTCCAGGGATGGATAGAGTAAGGGTTGTTTCTTCAAGGGAAGGGTAGAGTAAGGGTTGTATCTTCCAGGGATGGATAGAATAAGGGTTGTATCTTCCAGGGATTATTAGAGTAAGGGTTGTATCTTCCAGGGATGGATAGAGTTAGGGTTGTATCTTCCAGGGATGGATAGAGTTAGGTTTGTATCTCCCAGGGATGGATAGAGTTATCGTTGTATCTTCCAGGGATGGATAGAGTAAGGGTTGTATCTTCCAGGGATGGATAGAGTTAGGGTTGTATCTTCCAGGGATGGATAGAGTAAGGGTTGTATCTTCCAGGGATTGCTAGAGTAAAGGTTGTATCTTCAAGGGAAGGGTAGAGTAAGGGTTGTATCTTCAAGGGAAGGGTAGAGTAAGGTTGTATCTCCCAGGGATGGATAGAGTAAGGGTTGTATCTTCAAGGGAAGGGTAGAGTAAGGGTTGTATCTTCCAGGGATGGATAGAGTAAGGGTTGTTTCTTCAAGGGATGGATAGAATAAGGGTTGTATCTTCCAGGGATGGATAGAGTAAGGTTGTATCTCCCAGGGATGGATAGAGTAAGGGTTGTATCTTCAAGGGAAGGGTAGAGTAAGGGTTGTATCTTCCAGGGATGGATAGAATAAGGGTTGTATCTTCCAGGGATGGATAGAGTAAGGGTTGTTTCTTCAAGGGAAGGGTAGAGTAAGGGTTGTATCTTCCAGGGATGGATAGAATAAGGGTTGTATCTTCCAGGGATTATTAGAGTAAGGGTTGTATCTTCCAGGGATGGATAGAGTTATCGTTGTATCTCCCAGGGATGGATAGAGTTAGGGTTGTATCTTCCAGGGATGGCTAGAGTAAAGGTTGTATCTTCAAGGGAAGGGTAGAGTAAGGGTTGTATCTTCCAGGGATGGATAGAATAAGGGTTGTATCTTCCAGGGATGGATAGAGTAAGGGTTGTTTCTTCAAGGGAAGGGTAGAGTAAGGGTTGTATCTTCCAGGGATGGATAGAATAAGGGTTGTATCTTCCAGGGATTATTAGAGTAAGGGTTGTATCTTCAAGGGATGGATAGAGTTAGGGTTGTATCTCCCAGGGATGGATAGAGTAAGGGTTGTTTCTTCAAGGGAAGGGTAGAGTAAGGGTTGTATCTTCCAGGGATGGATAGAATAAGGGTTGTATCTTCCAGGGATTATTAGAGTAAGGGTTGTATCTTCCAGGGATGGATAGAGTTAGGGTTGTATCTTCCAGGGATGGATAGAGTTAGGTTTGTATCTCCCAGGGATGGATAGAGTTATCGTTGTATCTTCCAGGGATGGATAGAGTAAGGGTTGTATCTTCCAGGGATGGATAGAGTTAGGGTTGTATCTTCCAGGGATGGATAGAGTAAGGGTTGTATCTTCCAGGGATTGCTAGAGTAAAGGTTGTATCTTCAAGGGAAGGGTAGAGTAAGGGTTGTATCTTCAAGGGAAGGGTAGAGTAAGGTTGTATCTCCCAGGGATGGATAGAGTAAGGGTTGTATCTTCAAGGGAAGGGTAGAGTAAGGGTTGTATCTTCCAGGGATGGATAGAGTAAGGGTTGTTTCTTCAAGGGAAGGGTAGAGTAAGGGTTGTATCTTCCAGGGATTGATAGAATAAGGGTTGTATCTTCCAGGGCTTATTAGAGTAAGGGTTGTATCTTCCAGGGATGGATAGAGTTAGGGTTGTATCTTCCAGGGATGGATAGAGTAAGGGTTGTATCTTCCAGGGATGGATAGAGTAAGGGTTGTATCTTCCAGGGATGGATAGAGTTAGGGTTGTATCTTCCAGGGATGGATAGAATAAGGGTTGTATCTTCCAGGGATGGATAGAGTAAGGTTGTATCTCCCAGGGATGGATAGAGTAAGGGTTGTATCTTCAAGGGAAGGGTAGAGTAAGGGTTGTATCTCCCAGGGATGGATAGAGTAAGGGTTGTATATTCAAGGGAAGGGTAGAGTTAAGGTCTCATGTATTTCCGTTATGAGTAAGGAGGGACACTGCTTGCAGGTAGGGTGGGGGAGTATAGATCAGGGTCGAAGTTCTCCAAGAAATTGTGCCGAATAAAGGTTGGGTGATTTCCAAGGGCGGAGCAAAGATAGCAACGGGCTTGAAGAGAAATGCATTGTCTCAATATCAACTGAGCAGTATGTTTTTAGTCCTCACAAACAACTCTTGACACTGCAAATAAAGCCGGACATCTTGAATTGTAGATGTGTATACGTAGTGGAACATTTCGTACTCTTAAACAGGGCATGTTTTAATGTACACAAAACAGGGATTTGAAAATGTTATTAAAGTTTGTCACTAACCAAATGTTTTAACTTTTATGAAAGTGTAGTATGTCTGTCCACAGTTTCATTCCTTGTTACATGTTGTATTCTTGTAGTGTGCCATGGATGTGTGTGGTAACAGTCATTGCCCATCTAGGAATAACTACTAAGTATCCATCTGGCAATAGTTGTGCCCATCTATTAATCGTATTCGTAGAAACTGACTTTTCATCCAGTGGACGCATAATAATTTTCCACATCTATGTTTTGAGTTAAGATATATTCTATAAGCTAGTCATAATTTCCCAAGCATCCATGATAACAAAGACACATGCCATATTGCATTTTTATTCACCGGATGAAGTCTGTAAATAGACAAAAATACAAATTAACAGGAAACAGTTTAGTCAAACTATATTTTTTATTTCTCCCTGAATAGAAGATCACAGGATAACGTACCACTGTTGATAATAGTATTGGAAGACAGAACTGGTATCTGTGAACAATTTAGCATCCAGGGCAGAATAAATAGACCCGTATCCCAAATATTGCACATTCTGCCGACTCGGCAAACTTACATATGATACTGTTGACATCAGAAAGCTGTAAATATTCATTTTTTAACATACATAATATTTCAAAATAAGTAACTCGCCATATAATTAAACAGTGACATCATCAAACAATAATCCCTTATTTACAAATCATCTTAGAACCGGTTAGCATCACACTGTAGGACGTGGTGTAGCGGGTTGTAACCTATCTACAGCCTCCATCCAGAGTAAGGAAGGCTAACAATCTAAAAAGGTGGCAGAGTTGTCGACTGGCCGCCTGGTTTGTTGGTAGGCTCGCAGTGACAGCTAGTTATAACATCCATCTGAAACACAAAGCAAGGTAGTCTTAGAAGGGTCTCCAAGACACGGGTCGTTGTTTAATTGACGAGCAACACAGATGGTCACTTTTCAATAGAATATAGTCATTTTTCAATATGTTTGTTGACATATATAGGGGATAGATGATAGTCACTTTTCTATATGTTTGTTGACATAAATACACAGAGGATAGAGGATGGTCACTTTTCAATATGTTTGTTGACATATATATACAGAGGATAGAGGATAGTCACTTTTCAATATGTTTGTTGACTTAAATACACAGAGGATAGAGGATGGTCACTTTTCAATATGTTTGCTGACATAAATACACAGAGGATAGAGGATAGTCACTTTTCAATTTGTTTGTTGACATATATATATATACAGAGGATAGAGGATGGTCACTTTTCAATATGTTTTGCTGACATATATATACAGAGGATAGAGGATGGTCACTTTTCAATATGTTTGTTGACATATATATATACAGAGGATAGAGGATAGTCACTCTTCAATATGTTTGTTGACATATATAGGGGATAGATGATAGTCACTAATACACAGAGGATAGAGGATGGTCACTTTTCAATATGTTTGTTGACATATATATACAGAGGATAGAGGATAGTCACTTTTCAATATGTTTGTTGACTTAAATACACAGAGGATAGAGGATGGTCACTTTTCAATATGTTTGTTGACATAAATACACAGAGGATAGAGGATAGTCACTTTTCAATTTGTTTGTTGACATATATATATACAGAGGATAGAGGATGGTCACTTTTCAATATGTTTTGCTGACATATATATATACAGAGGATAGAGGATGGTCACTTTTCAATATGTTTGTTGACATATATATATACAGAGGATAGAGGATAGTCACTCTTCAATATGTTTGTTGACATATATATACAGAGGATAGAGGATGGTCACTTTTCAATATGTTTGCTGACATATATATACAGAGGATAGAGGATGGTCACTTTTCAATAAGTTTGTTGACATATATATATACAGAGGATAGAGGATAGTCACTCTTCAATATGTTTGTTGACATATATATACAGAGGATAGAGGATGGTCACTTTTCAATATGTTTGCTGACATATATATACAGAGGATAGAGGATGGTCACTTTTCAATAAGTTTGTGGACATATAGACACAGAGGATAGAGGATGGTCACTTTTCAATATGTTTGCTGACATATATATACAGAGGATAGAGGATGGTCACTTTTCAATATGTTTGTTGACATATATATGAAGAACATATATAATGATTTTGACTGTGTTCTACACACTGGTGTGTAAACATGTTACACAATATAAGGCACTTGTGTGATAAGAACACCACACACTATACGGATTTATTATGCCTCAAAGTGAGATTGACCAATGAGAGAGCAGAACTACTGACCCCATATGAGCCCGAGTACTGTCAGTGGTTATTACTGACCTAATATGAGACCATATACCGTCAGTAACAACCATTTTGGATTTTCCAACACCCACCTCACACAATTCACATGAAAATTCTTGCACAGAAATTAGTTATTTGACACTGTTTTGTGTTTTAATATAATTAATTTTGATGTGCAAGGGCATCAATTTGTTTAGATCACGTACGTGACTTAATTGATAAAGATTATAGTTTAAATTACCAACAAGGCTTGAAGAGTAGTCTCCCTTTGACCCTTAACGTCAACTGTTGTAAGTGTCAAGTTTTAATTTTGACATGGCATGTGCGATATGGATACAAGATAGTGTACATTAAATGAATTCGTTATGGTATCTAAAGGCACCATAGCTAATAGTACGCTTACATTATACATTATGGGCCGGATTACAACAACGACAGTATGTATCCTATTGTTCACGTGGTACTACTTACAGTGGTATTGTAGGCTAGTTGTCCGACACACTTGACTTGTATAGACTGTTGCTCCACTGTGGGCGTACAGCACATGGTCGCCACCTTGCCGCAGCCCCCTCCGCACTGACCATAATCCATGAAGATAGACTCGCACCCCTTGTCATCCTTCCTCGATCCCCACGCTGCCATCTTGGAGCAGTTGAGCGGCTTTTCTACAACACAAGGGAGTCAATACTGTACAATGCTGAGAGAGAGCGGCTCGGACTTGCTTGATTGCGTGTCTTCGTACCCTGATGGCGTCGACTGTTGCTCATAAAATCAATCACAAATTGTCCGGTTCAGACTCATTTATTTCAAGCCGAAGCCATTTAGCGTTAAACAAACAGACAAATATAACAGAACCGTAAATCGATGCCTTGTCTGTCCGTTCCAAGTTTTGATGTCTGATCAGCGACATAAGGGGCTAAACTCACGAATCTGTCACAGACCTAACTTCACAAGCGAAGTCCTGTACGAGTCCATCACAGACCGACCTTCCCAAACGATGTCCTGTACGAATCTATCACAGACCTACCTTCACAAGCGAAGTCCTGAACGAACCCATCACAGACCTACCTACCTTCACAAGACATGTCCTGTACGAATCTATCACAGACCCACCTTCACAAGAGATGTCCTGTACGAATCTACCACAGACCCACCTTCACAAGAGATGTCCTGTACGAATCTATCACAGACCTACCTTCACAAGCGAAGTCCTAAACGAACCCATCACAGACCTACCTTCCTTCACAAGGCATGTCCTGTGCGAATCTATCACAGACCTACCTTCACAAGCGAAGTCTTGTACCAATGTCATGGGCAGGCTCTTCACACATGCGTCCTTCTCCAGCTCGCACAGGTTGACGTAGGTCTTGACGAAGTTGCCAACGCGGCCGCACACAGGGTCGTACCCGCGGTTGTCACACTTCTTGCAGGTACAGTCAGTTGCAGAGGTCTCGTTGTTTGAAACACACACCTGACCCTTGGGACACGTGGAGGCAGTGCAGGGGCCTGCAAACAGGTACAAACACACATGAACGCCCATACAGTGAAATTGCATGGTAGAAGTGTTTTAAGGAACGTTTTCTATCCTAGAAGATGCAAGAACAAAGCACAGATTTTACATTTCTTAGCTTCTATGATAACAAAAAACAAACTGTATTTGAGTATCAGGTCCAATGCACTGGGAACTAGATCTGGAGATGCTGTTTAAAGTCAATCTGGAATGTACATGCAAATTGCTCTTGTAGTTGTATACAGATCAACAAATATTATTGAAAATTAAAGGCAAGTATGACATTATGTTATATTTTGTGCAGTGTACGATATACAATGTCTATTTGCCATCTGAGGCGTAGACACCCCTATCCAAGATTTGTCCTGGGTCCCGTCCCTCAAAGCCATCTTAGCGCTGAGATGATCGTAACTCCCATAGTCTTAACATAACCTAACGATACTTGCGGTAATATAGCTTTGTAGAACAGTGTGACGTTGTACAAAACAACATTAGCTCTACGACTGTCTTAAGTCTATGTTAAAGTATGGGAGTTAAGATCATCTTAGTGCTAAGATCGCTTTGTACAACGGCACCCTGGTCCCTGGTTGTGATTCTTGTTTTGGCAGCACCATGCCTGTGCTTATGGGCTTCTTCGAAGTGATGCACGTCAAAGAGCTGTATCACTTTGCTTTTCTTACACATTAAGCTGATGCAGTAACTGAAATACTGTTCAAAGCGGTGTAAAGGTTGCGTCACTCATGATCTGAGACCCCCGGTGGAATCTACAGAAGGGAAGTATCCATCTTACTGCACCATTCTTACCTTCTGGGCATGTTCTGTAGCATAAGGCGATTGCAGTCTCCTTCAGCGGGTTGCCATTGGAGTCTAAAGCGTTGCCAAGGGGAACACGTGTTCTGGATTCGTACCCAGTACCACATGTAACACTGCAGGGTCCCCATGGCCCCCACTGTGCCATAGGATAACCTGGAATATAGCACGAGACATTACATTACAGAAGTGTGTTGTGAAGAGAGTAGTACCCCCTATCCAATCCCTACATTACAGAAAGTGTTGTGAAGAAAGTAGCACCCCCTATCCAATCCCTACATTACAGAAAGTGTTGTGAAGAAAGTAGTACCCCCTATCCAATCCCTACATTTCAGAAGTGTGTTGTGAAGAAAGTAGTACCCCCTATCCAATCCCTACATTACAGAAAGTGTTGTGAAGAAAGTAGTATCGCCTATCTAATCCCTGCATTACATTATAGAAAGTGTGTTGTGAAGAAAGTAGTATCCCCTATTCAATGCCTACATTACGTTACAGGAAGTGTTGTGGAGAAGGTAGTATCTCCTATCAAATGCCAACATTACATTACAGAAAGTGTTATGGAGAAAGTAGTATCCCCTATCTAATTCCTACATTACATTATAGAAAGTGTGCTGTGAAGAAAGTAGTATCTCCTATCAAATGCCAACATTACATTACAGAAAGTGTTGTGGAGAAAGTAGTATTCCCTATGTAATCCCTGCATTACATTATAGAAAGTGTGTTGTGAAGAAAGTAGTATCTCCTATCCAATGCCAACATTACATTACAGAAAGTGTTGTGGAGAAAGTAGTATCCCCTATATAATCCCTACATTACATTATAGAAAGTGTGTTGTGAAGTAAGGAGTATCCCCTATCCAATTCCTACATTACATTACAGAAAGTGTGTATTGAAGAAAGTTGTATCCCCTATCCATCCCTACATAACATAACTGAAAGTGTGTTGTAGTGAAGGTGGTATCACCCATCCCTATATAACGTAATAAAGGTGTGTTGTGGGGGAAATGGTACCTGCTCCAGATCCTTCACATGCCTTGCCGGTGGAGACGACGGTGATCTCCGAGTTGCCGAGGCCGCACGTGTACTTCTCGAAGTCACACCTGCTCTTGAACATCAGGTGGGTGGAGGAGCACACAGACTCTACAACACAGCAACAGGTTCGTATATAGAGTGGAGTGGAGTGGAAAGGAGTGGAGTGGGTAAATAAATCTTTAGATTTTAGGCAATAAATATTTATCATACATACAGCTCTGTATTGGGAGATGCGGTTGTATGCATGAAGATCGTATGACCGAGCAATGTACAATAGCTCTGTGCATGTTATATTCACCTATAGTAACATTCGACTCCGACTCCGTGCACAGGGGGCACTGACACTTCGCCTTGCCGTTCTCCACCACACACACCTGGCTGGGCAGCTCACACTCTGTGCTGGCGCAGTCATCTGAAACACCAAACTAGCATGTAGTTGTACCCTTCAAACACCGTCCGTCCTAGAGTACAACACACATCCACCTGTCCTTTAGAACCATACATGTCCATCTGTCCTTTGGGCTATACATGTCCACCTGTCCTTTAGAACTATACCTCTCCACTTGTCCTTTAGACCTATACATGTCCATCTGTCCTTTAGAACTATACATGTCCATCTGTCCTTTAGAACTATACATGTCCACCTGTCCTTTAGGAGTAGACATGTCCATCTGTCCTTTAGAATTATACATGTCCACCTGTCCTTTAGAACTATACCTCTCCACCTGTCCTTAAGAACTATACATGTCCACCTGTCCTTTAGGACTATACATGTCCACCTGTCCTTTAGGACTATACATGTCCATATGTCCTTTAGGACTATACATGTCCACCTGTCCTTTGGGACTATACATGTCCATCTGTCCCTTGGGACTATACATGTCCATCTGTCCTTTAGAACTATACATGTCCACCTGTCCTTTAGAACTATACACGTCCACCTGTCCTTTAGAACTATACATGTCCACCTGTCCTTTAGAACTATACATGTCCACCTGTCCTTTAGAACTATACATGTCTACCTGTCCTTTAGAACTATACATGTCCACCTGTCCTTAAGAACTATACATGTCCACCTGTCCTTAAGAACTATACCTCTCAACCTGTCCTGTAGTACCAGACCCGTCCATCTGTCGTATATTCACATACTCTTGTAAACGACATGACATTATTATGTCACGGTGAAAAGGCGAAAAGATATATTTGATTGAGTGGCCCATAAATGAAAATATTCAATTTCACTCCTCCATTAAAAACTATATGGTATTTTGCAAAGACATCTTTCATGTATCCCTGCTTCATGTAAGGGTGTAACAACCTACACATGTGCCCGCACTAACGTAAGACCAATTACCACGCCTACCTTTGCATGGACCATCATAGGATTTCTCCACGAAGTTCTGGTTCTTGCAGGCCTTGATCACCAGCTCCTTCTCCGAGTTATATGTCTTCCCGTCAGTGCCACAAACCTACAACGTCAGCAAAAACAAACATGCAACATCAGCAAAAACAAACATGCAACATCAGCAAAAACAAACCTACAACGTCAGCAAAAACAAAAATGCAACATCAGCAAAAACAAACATGCAACATCAGCAAAAACAAACATGCAACATCAGCAAAAACAAACATGCAACAACAGCAAAAACAAACATGCAACATCAGCAAAAACAAACATGCATCAGCAACAAAACCACTTTTGGAGGGCACAATCAGCAAAAGAAATTACATGTAGCCAGTTATGCCACATCAGAAAAACTACAACATATCTGAAAACATGCTACATCCGCTACAAAAGCTTGTGGACCCGTGAAGATCCGGGTTAGAATAGGTCTTCAGCAAGCCATGTTTACGGTAAGATGCGATTATGCTTGTCGTAAGAGGATAGCAACGGGATCGGGTGGTCAGGCTCAGTAACTTGGTTGATGCATGTCATCGTATCCCAAATGTGTAGATCGTTGCTCATGATGTCAGTCACCCAATAGTCTGGTCCAGACTCGATAATTTACAGAATGCAGTCATATGACTGGAATATTGCTGAATGCGGCGTTAAACAACAAACAAACAAACAAAACCTGTGGTATCCGCAACTACTTGAAACATCAGTAAAACCAAACCGGGAGCAATAGCAAGATACACTCGCCACATCAGCAACTCTAAGCTTCCCAAATCAGCAATAAACTGTAGGAACACAACTGCAACATTAACAACCAAATTTGCATCATCTGCAAATACATCCATGCAACATCAGCAACACAATTTGCATGGTCTGCAAACACTTCAGCAAATCTACACCTGCGGCACACCTTGAAACAAGAAGGCTGCACTAGGGGTAGAGTGAGTGCGTTTGGTTGTATGCGTTGTGTCTGAACTGCTGCACCGGAGTCTCCATGAAGGGTGGCCGTCCAAGATGGTATGCATGACAAGGAGACACCTTCTCACTCTTGTATTCGTGGAGAACATCGTCAGTTTCCCATGGTTGTGGTCTCTGTATTAGTGTCATGTCCATCTTCCATTGCAGCCAACGACACTCATGCGTTTGTGTAATACTTGTACACTAGAAGATCTTCAACTTTTAGTTGAGGTCAGAAAACGATTGTCGAGAGTCTGAACAGAAAACTTAGAAATCATGGCACGAACCTTTCCTGGGTTGCTGCACGACTCTCCGAAGCATGAACAACATATGGTTCCATTGCCAACATTCTCAAAACCGGAGCCTGAAAATAAAATAAGGCATTAGTCGTGCAGTATTGGAGGTGCTGGTTCATTGAGAAAACCTCTTTTATTAAACATACTTCCAGGATCAATCGTCACTTCGAAAGTCTTTACAGTTCACTGTACAGTTTTACTACGTCAGCAAAACGTTAGACAAGATAAGAAAAAGCGTTACGGCCATGTAGTTTGCCCAAATACAATAACGTCAAAATGTGTACCGCTACCGTATATATCTAATTAAGATATCTGATGTGTGCAGTCGTGAGTCATTATTAGTGTATTGTTGTTCTGTGAATTAAGCAGTGGAGACTTACCGTCGCTGACTCACTGACTGATGGAGACTTACCGTCGCTGACACACTGACTGACAGAGACTTACCGTCACTGACACACTGACTGACAGAGACTTACCGTCGCCGACACACTGACTGATGGAGACTTACCGTCGCCGACACACTGACTGATGGAGACTTACCGTCGCCGACACACTGACTGATGGAGACTTACCGTCGCTGACACACTGACTGATGGAGACTTACCGTCGCCGACACACTGACTGATGGAGACTTACCGTCGCCGACACACTGACTGATGGAGACTTACCGTCGCCGACACACTGACTGATGGAGACTTACCGTCGCTGACTCACTGACTGATGGAGACTTACCGTCGCCGACACACTGACTGATGGAGACTTACCGTCGCTGACTCACTGACTGATGGAGACTTACCGTCGCCGACACACTGACTGATGGAGACTTACCGTCGCCGACACACTGACTGATGGAGACTTACCGTCGCCGACACACTGACTGATGGAGACTTACCGTCGCTGACACACTGACTGATGGAGACTTACCGTCGCTGACACACTGTAGTCCTTGCTTCTTGAAGCCGCCACAACACACACATTCAAACCCGCCCCTTGTGTTCTTGCACTCGGAGTTAGGAGGGCAGTTGTCCTTTCCTGTAGCGCACTCGTCAAAATCTGCAACATAGTAAGTGAAGAAGTGAGTCAGTGGAAAAAGAGGGTAACAGTATCAGCGTGGGGTAGAGTCATACAATGGATCTGCGAGTGAGTGAGTGAAGTAGTAGAGTAAGTGAGATAGTGATAGAGTTAGTGCTCTATATAGTAAGTGACAGAGAGAGTGAGACCTGTGAAGATCCGGGGTAGAACAGGTCTTCAGCAACCCATGCTTGCGTAAGAGGTGACTATGCTTGTTGTAAGAGGCGAGTATCAGGATCAGTTGGTCAGGCTCGCTGACTTGGTTGATGCATGTCATCGTTTTCCAATTGCATGGATCAATGCTCATGATGTCAAGCACTAGATTGTCTGGTTCAGACTTGATTATTTACAGACGGACGTCATATAGCTGGAATAATGCAGTGTGAGGCGTTAAACAATAAACAAAGAGTGAGTGAGTGAGTGAGTGAGTGAAGTTTAGAACCTGCAGCAGGCAAACCAGGGCCGACAGGCCTCGGTCCGCTATCTAAACCACCGGGTGTGCTGGGGTTACACCTAGGGAGCAGGGCTACATTGACGATTCCTATGTCACCGCTTCATACAGCCAGTCTGGTCACCGGGTGTGCTGGGGTGACACCTAGAGAGCAGGGCTACATTGACGATTCCTATGTCTGCACTTCATACAGCCAGTCTGGTCACCGGGTGTGCTGGGGTGACACCTAGCGAGCAGGGCTACATTGACGATTCCTATGTCACCACTTCATACAGCCAGTCTGGTCACCGGGTGTGCTGGGGTTACACCTAGAGAGCAGGGCTACATTGACGATTCCTATGTCACCGCTTCATACAGCCAGTCTGGTCACCGGGTGTGCTGGGGTTACACCTAGAAAGCAGGGCTACATTGACGATTCCTATGTCACCGCTTCATACAGCCAGTCTGGTCACCGGGTGTGCTGGGGTTACACCTAGAAAGCAGGGCTACATTGACGATTCCTATGTCACCGCTTCATACAGCCAGTCTGGTCACCGGGTGTGCTGGGGTTACACCTAGAGAGCAGGGCTACATTGACGATTCCTATGTCTGCACTTCATACAGCCAGTCTGGTCACCGGGTGTGCTGGGGTTACACCTAGGGAGCAGGGCTACATTGACGATTCCCATGTCACCGCTTCATACAGCCAGTCTGGTCACCGGGTGTGCTGGGGTTACACCTAGAAAGCAGGGCTACATTGACGATTCCTATGTCACCGCTTCATACAGCCAGTCTGGTCACCGGGTGTGCTGGGGTTACACCTAGGGAGCAGGGCTACATTGACGATTCCTATGTCACCGCTTCATACAGCCAGTCTGGTCACCGGGTGTGCTGGGGTTACACCTAGGGAGCAGGGCTACATTGACGATTCCTATGTCACCGCTTCATACAGCCAGTCTGGTCACCGGGTGTGCTGGGGTTACACCTAGGGAGCAGGGCTACATTGACGATTCCCATGTCACCGCTTCATACAGCCAGTCTGGTCACCGGGTGTGCTGGGGTTACACCTAGGGAGCAGGGCTACATTGACGATTCCTATGTCACCGCTTCATACAGCCAGTCTGGTCACCGGGTGTGCTGGGGTTACACCTAGGGAGCAGGGCTACATTGACGATTCCTATGTCACCGCTTCATACAGCCAGTCTGGTCACCGGGTGTGCTGGGGTTACACCTAGGGAGCAGGGCTACATTGACGATTCCTATGTCACCGCTTCATACAGCCAGTCTGGTCACCGGGTGTGCTGGGGTTACACCTAGGGAGCAGGGCTACATTGACGATTCCCATGTCACCGCTTCATACAGCCAGTCTGGTCACCGGGTGTGCTGGGGTTACACCTAGGGAGCAGGGCTACATTGACGATTCCTATGTCACCGCTTCATACAGCCAGTCTGGTCACCGGGTGTGCTGGGGTTACACCTAGGGAGCAGGGCTACATTGACGATTCCTATGTCACCGCTTCATACAGCCAGTCTGGTCACCAGGTCCTGGTTCCAGCTGTCCCTGACCACACGTTACAACACAAGACAACAACGTCCACCTTGGCTGCGAGGTGTACACATACCGAGACAGAAGTCCTCCACGCCGTAGTACCCCTCCTTGCAGATGCACTCCGCCCCACCGTCGATGTTCCTGCAGTCCTGACCTGGCTTGGTGCAGTTGTGCGTCCTCGTGGCACACTCGTCCACATCTGTCAAAAATATAAACAGCATGTACAAGGATGTCAGGAAATTGCAAACGTTACAAAAGCAGGACACTGACTCCTACGGAAGACTTTGGGGGCCACTTATTGTATTTCTTTTTTTTAATTGAAATTTCAGGAGATACACGTTGACTTTTCAAGTTAAAATCTTAAAATTTCAACTTATTATCTTGAAATTTCAACAAAGATATTCAAATTTCAACTTAATATAAATTTCAACTTATTATCTTGACATTTCAAAATAGCATCTTGAAATTTCAAGATAATAAGTTGAAATTTCAACATAACATAAGTTTAAATGTTAAGTTTATATATTTTGAAATTTCAAGTTAAAATCTTACAATTTCACCTTATTATCTTCAAATTTCAACTTAGTATTTATCTGGAAATTTCAACATAGCATCTTCAAATTTCAACAAAGCATCTTCAAATTTCAACTTAATATAAATTTCAACTTATTACCTTGACATTTCAACATAGCATCTTTGAAATTTCAAGATGATAAGTTGAAATTCCAAATTATAATCTTAACATTTCAACTTATGTATCTTGAAATTTAAACTTAGTATCTTGAAATTTCAAGAAACAAAACAAATGGCCCTAAAATGCTTCCGTAGATTCGACTACCTTCGCAAAATTGCTTCGAAGTTTATATCTCCAATGTTGCCTACACTTGTGAAAGACCTCAGCTACGCCCCGGTTAGACACTGACTTTCTCTATCTTAGACTAACATCATGATAATGATAACAATTATCCCAGTAATTTGTCTAGACCCCTCCGATAGTAAATTCTGACCCGGTAGTCGATTCTCTCCTACCCAGAAATCCTAGTGTAATGCTAAGTCATCCCTGTGCCGGAGTGAGGGTCCGATAGAGGGCGACACCATGTATGTTTGTAAACGCTGAAAGAAGTACCTACCTGAAATTCTGTTTTAAAATTATCCGTAAATAGCCTCAAAGTTTGCCGTTTTTATATCCGTTGACGTCATCCTGCTAAGAAACCTACCTATCATAGGTGACGCAGGAGATATGAATGTACGATACCCGTGAAGACCCGGGGTAGAATAGGTCTTCAGCAACCCATGCTTGCCGTAAAAGCCGACTATGCTCATCACTCATGTCAATCACTGGATTGGATGGTCCAGACTCGATTATTTACAGACCGCCGTCATATAGCTGGAGTATTGCTGAGTGCGGCGTTAAACAACAAAACAAACAAACAAAATGAATGTACATGGGGAATATATCCAGGCATTACAGAGTGCAGGCTCACGTACCCACACACGTCTCGCAGTCAGCTGTGTATCCCATCTTGCAGACACACTTGCCCTCCTTACACTCCTGGTTTTTGCTGCAGTTGACTTTGTAACACGGGTCCTCTGAAACACGACGGCGGGGAGATTGAAATCTTTAAGTATACTACAATACACAACAACATCGCAACACCAATAGACGTTGTGGCGAAATAGCAGCAGGAATACCTACGAGTCTTATTCAAGCACTGTGTGACTTTCATACAAATTAAAGCGGTATACCTAGAGAGCTTTGCAGTTGTACCATTAATCTCTTGATTGTCCACGAAGTCAAAATATATACTGTATATAAATCTAACAGTTAATTTAAATACAATGAGGCAATGGCTCACACATGACACTTATTATAACATCGAGTGAGTGAGTGAGTGAGTGAGTGAGTGAGTGAGTGAGTGAGTGAGTGAGTGAGTTGGGTTTAACGCTTTGAACAGTATTCCGATATCTCACGTTGGTATAACGTCCAACTACAAATGAGTAACAATGTGTGGAACATTGGGCTATAATCATGATTTTGTATAGTACTAACAGAGAAAGTCTAGACAGTGTAATAAAGCATTTGTTTCAATCTGAGACAGTGTATATGTGTACTTAGGCTAATCATCAAGTGCTAGAGTGATATATATACCAAGTAAGTTGAGTTTGCTGACAATCAATCTTGCTTTTTTTGTATGACTTGATTCAAATTTACTAAGATGTCAGTTGGCCCGAGCCTTGCCTCTTTGAACCCAAGATGCCGAGGACATTACAAACACAGAGTTTAAATCCTCGAAAGTATTAACCGCATATTCATGAATATGAATCTCTTCAACTGATCCTGTAAAGATATATAGTTGTCATTATTTAAAAACCTACCTTCGCATTTCTCGCCATCGCCCATGAATCCGTCTTTGCAGTGGCAACCGTAGACGCCTTGTTCCAGGTCAAGGTCACAGATGGCGTTCGGGTCACACACGAGAGACTTGTTATTGAACACGTTACCCTCATTGCAGATTCTGTACGCTCCACACCCGTCACTGACGACCGTCTCCCCAGCCTGCGTGCCACACAAGGTCATGTGTTATAACTGTCATGTGACATTGTGTCACATGGTATGGTTCCTGAATGGGGACTTCCGTTTCAGCATCGCATAAGACAATGGGCAATCAGAGGACACACAAACTGATACGTACATATGTATCAATCCAATCACAGTACTTTCATCTGGCGTATTCTGGTTGTTCTATGACGTTTCCATATTTGTAAACGTGGGTCAGTGACATTCGGTGTGTTGATTGCAGTAAAAGATTCAAAACCGATACTGTTGTTTATTTTTGTTTGATAACAAATTCTATCCACTTTAGCTGTAATAACGGTAACGCTATTTTTAACGCAGCCCCAAGTGGTTTATTGTACAATAAACAACGACCACGAGTCTTTTATTTCTTATATGAGATATTAACTTTAGGTAGAGCCTCTTAAGGATGTTAGTAAAAGGTACACGCTTTAACATTTTTTACCCGTATGGAAATAATAATGACTCCCTCAACAGAATCCGACCGCGGCAATGTCGGACAATTCCAATTTATGAACAAAGCTCCTAAAGTTTCACGTCGATTATCTGTACCATTTCTCCCAATAGCAATTGTCACATCTCTCCCACTTTGGGATGCGATTGTTCGGCCATTGCGTTTATCTACGTTGCCCAGCTACAACTATGGGGAACAACTCACTAGACACCTACGTATCAAAATAACGTCGTACAAATGACGACGTCATCAAGTTGCGAGCGCATGTTCGAATCTCCAGAAATGACGTCATGATTGGACAATGTTTTATCGTGAAAAAAAACACACGCTTCGTTCCTCATTGTTCTTTGTGACTTATCGCGTAGCTATCTTATATTAATATTTAAAACATCCCGAAGCACGTTTGATATAAAATGGGAGGAAACTCAATTTCTTAACTGCTCAATCAGTCCTCCATTGTATTATCCATAGTGCGCATGACCGGAAGTGGTGCTACATACCTTCATGTAGGTGACAGAGTCGCCCTCCTCGTAGATGCAGCCGCACTCATCCGCGGGAACGCAGCGGTCTTGGTCCTTGTAGTAGCCGTCATTGCAGAAGCAGCCGTCGAGGCACGACGACGCGGGGACTTCAGTGGTGTTGGTCAGCAGCCCCAGACATGTCTGTACCGGACCTGGGTCGGTGTCGGCCATGCCGCCACACACGCTGTACACCATGTTCACGCCACAGGACTCCCCTGCAACGTTGACTACAGCGTTAGAGGACGACGCTGGTACACACAATATACGACACATCCTACTCTGAAGTTGGTAATTGTAACGTTTGGAAACGTCATCTCATGGCATTTGCTGTAACGTATATTCGCCCAATGAAAGGACACTTTCTATAAACGCCAGAGCCTACCCGACACTGTACACTGTATGTGCAATTCACCGATGGTCTGTATTACAACCTCGGACATTTATAATGCTCCTAATAATCTTCATCGACCCAAATTCATTCTTCAGCCAAGCTTCTGCCCGGAATCTGAAGGCGCCCGTCACGCTATATTTTGAGCTTTTTTTATTTGTGTAATAAATGGTAAAGTACCAACCCGTTTTATTGATAGTTCCATTGAATGAGACAGGTCATTGTCTACAATCAGGGCAAACAGTACCGGCAGATCCAATACTGAGACTGAGGATGACACCTCGGAACATAAATGCATATGGAATGCTGCTTGATGACGTCGCGGAAAGTAGAGGTCGCAAAAGTAACATTGGTTATAAAATCTGGACTAAATCTTGATAAGAGTTGTCTTTCTTTATATTTTGTATATAACTTCACATGTATAATATTAACGGGCGCACCAGCGACCAAGAAAATATCGACAATGTCCTTATCTCCAGGCAGAGGTTTATGTAACCCAACTTGACTCACCACACCGGAGGCCATTGGCGTTCCTCCATACTGGGATCTGTTCTCCAATAGCTCGGCACTCGTCCGCTACCCTCCCCGCGGTGGCGCACATGTTGTCCATGGCGGTCTGGGGGGAGCTGCACATGTCGATGTTGCAGCCTCTGTACAGTCCCTCCATGATGGTGGAGCTGATCTTGGGGATGCAGTCCTAGATTCACAGAAGTAAACCACGATACATCTTGGTGTATGTGTAATGTATCAACATGTATTCATATCAATAAAGACAACCTCCGTGGGCTAGTGGATGGAGCCTCTGCCCGAGGAGTAGAAGGTCCATGGTTCCATTCCTGGGGTCGTCGTACCAAAAAGACGTTAAAAGATGGTACTTGTTGTTAACCTGTCTGACGCTCGGCATTATGGTGATAAAACAAAGACTTGTCGACTCGGAGTCAGTATACTGTGCGTGAGAGGGCTATCCGTGTTAAACCGTATGGTATCTAGTCCGGACTAGAACAAACAGCCACATAGATTGTATAGTTTGTCAGCAATATTCCAGGTTAGTAAACAGGACCAAACAATCCAGTGGTTGACATCATGATCACTGATCCATGCAACCAAGTCTCGGAGCCAAACGCTCGATCCATTTAGTCGTCTCTTACGACAAGCAAGGGTTCAAAGCGACCACTCTTCCTTGAATCCACACAGTTAGTGACCTAGTTATGACATGGTTTGTGACACGGTAATGGCATGGTTCTGATTGAGAAACGATACTTGCCTTGAAGAGACCGGTGAAGATCCAGGGTAGAATAGGTCTTCAGCAACCCATGCTTGTCGTAGGGGGCGACTTACGGGATCGGGGGGTCAGGGTGGCTAAACTGGTTGATGCATGTCATCGTATCCCGTAGATTGGTGCTTATGATGTCAGTCGTTGGATTGTTTGGTCCAGACTCGATTATTTACAGACCGTGGTCATATAGCTGGAATATTGCTGAGTGTGGCTTTAAACAACAAACAAACAAACAAACAAACCTTGAAGACAGATGTCTGGAGTCCTAGGAGGTAGCCACACATCATGGCGGCCATCTGTTGGCTCATGCCGCACACGGGGTTCATGGACGGAGGCTCATCACAGTCTCGCTTGCACCCGGGACTCTGCAGCACTGACGCACTCGACGCCCACGAGGTGCCGAACTGGTTATTGTTGGTTGTCTGTAAAACAGGACCAACTTCACTGAAACAAGCGTAGCTGCGGAATGTGAATCGTCATCACGGCACGTGATTTTGAACAATAACTTACCAAACGCGTTACCCAGAGATGTCCAGGTCAAACCAAGATTGTCACCAAAGTCGCATTAGTATTACAGTTAAATATGACAGGCTATTTCGACTAGCAGCTACACGTACGATCTGGCCTGCATTTGGGCACCCTGGTCCAATCGTCCAGTCGTCCTTGTCATCGTTGTTGTAGTTGCCGCAGATGCCACACACGTTCTTCTGGAACTTCTTGTCCACGAAGATCTGCACCTTGTCCCTGCCATCCCAGGTCACGGTCAGGTTGATGTTGCTGCTGAAAATCTGGGGGAAGACAGACTCAGAGGTTAGGAGTGAGTGAGTGTGGTTTTACGCCACCTTAAGCAATATAGACGGCGGGGGACACCAGGAATGGGCTTCACACATTGTACCTGTCTGGAGACTGAAAAACTCGGGACTTCAGCGTGACAACCGAACAGTAAAACCATTACCCTATCGTCCTTTGGGGTTAGGAATGAATGGATCAGTTGGGTATAACGGCGCTTTTAATTAGATCCCATGTCAACTTAATCATAGGTGTCCCCCGCCGTGTTATTGCTGGAATATTGTTGACATTGAACAAACCTTATCATCGGTTAACGAGGCAGAAAATGAAATTGTGAACGCAAATATAATGAAAAGTCCAGTTGCATACGTGCACGAAGTAATTGAGATACATTTGCCATCATATCTGTAATATCCCAGTAACACAAAAGAAATAGAAATACTTAGCATCCTCCTCTTTCATCGATAGTATGGTAATGATACGTTTAGATATGTATTGAGGGCTACAGGACAGACCCTACTCGAGTCGTACAGTTCAACTGTAGGCCTGTTTGTCGTGAATGAGTGCAGTCAGACTACACCTGTCTTGGCTGAAATGTCCCTTTCCTGATCTTTTAACTACTGAAACAAAACGTGTACGCCACCACCATGTTTTAGATCTACGTACCACTTCCCTGCCGGTGTCGATGACCGAGAAGCCGTTCCCGTTGTAGCCGGCTTTGATCTGTCCGTTCACACGGATCTCCCGATTCTGCCGCATTTCGATCAGCTGGAAGAGAGGTCAGATGAAGATGCAATTGTTGCATGAATACACACGTGAATAGAGCAATTGTTGCATGAATACACACGTAGATAGAGCAATTGCTGCATGAATACACACGCGGATGGAGCAATTGTTGCGTGAGTACACACGTAGATAGAGAAATTGTTGCATGAATACACACGGGGATAGAACTGGAAGATTGCTGGGGACTATTCTATACTTGACAAGAAGGTTGCTGAGGACTATTCTATCCTTGACACGAAGGTTGCTGAGGACTATTCTATCCTTGACACGAAGGTTGCTGAGTACTATTCTATCCTTGACACGAAGGTTACTGAGGACTATTCTATCCTTAACACGAAGGTTACTGAGGACTTTTCTATCCTTGACACGAAGGTTGCTGAGAATTATTCTATCCTTGACATGAGGGTTACTGAGGAATATGCCATGGTGTTTTTGCGCGGTGATCGTATAGATGGAAGCATGTCTGTACTTACAGTGCTCTTGTACTTGACAGTGATCCCCTTTACCCAGGCGGCATGCTCCACTCTCAGACCCTTGTCCCAAGAATTCATGATGACCTCGAAGGTCGGTGTCCCGCCATCACAGTTGTCCCGGCCCATGGTGTACTCACAGAGACCCATGTAGTCCAGCCACTTCTGGTCAAACGACAGGCAATGGGGATCGCCGAAACACACGCATTGGCCTTGAGCTGGGGAATGGATTAAAGAGGAACGGTCTGGTTATTTTACCGCAATCAAACGCGGGGCAACGGAAGTCGCCGAAACACAAGCATGGACCTGGAAAATGGACTAAGGAAGAAAGTGTATTTATTTGTTGTTTAACGCCCCACTCAACAATATTCCAGCTATATGACGGCGGTCCGTAAATAATCGAGTCTGGACAAAACATTCCAGTGAATGAGTATCGATCTACGCAATTGGGATACGATGACATCCATCAACCAAGTCAGCAAGGCTGACCACCCGATCCCGTTAGTCGCCTCTTACGACAAGCATGGGTCTGAAAACCTTTCTGTGTTTGTATCTCTGGAAGACACAATCACACGGTTGGCAGGGTTGGGTGGAGTCCGGGTGCTATGGACTGAGAAGGTTCATTGCGTCATTTCTTGATAATCATAACGTGCATGTTCGTTATTTGATTCATCCTTTGTATACCCTTTGGCGCAAAGAGGCTAAAGGTTGAAATGGAATGTGAAATATGTTGTAGGGTTAACCTCCGCGTCCGGTACAGTTCTCTACTTATGCCGATTGAAAATCAAAGTTCTTCGTGGTATTGTCGCATGCGTTTGATTATACAAGGCTGGCAAAGGACTCACACATTACTTCGGGGACGTATTTCAAGCTGTTCTGTTTATTGTGTTGACGTTAACGTAGTGTTTACCGAAGATCACAGTTCCAGCATGGACATTATACCGCTTTAGGGGCGGTCGGGTAGCCGAGTGGTTAAAGCGTTCGCTCGTCACGCCGAAGACCCGGGTTCGATTCCCGACAAGGGTACAATGTGTGAAGCCCATTTCTGGTGTCCCCCGCCGTGATATTGCTGGAATATTGCTAAAAGCGGCGTAAAACCATACTCACTCACCCACTATACCGCTTTATGGAATGTCCTATACGTTAGTACACATCGAGTGGCTACGTCAGTTATTGTGTAGCTTATACAACAGATCATCATTCTAAATAAATAAAATAAGTACTGGACTGTCTATCCCTCACTAACAATATACACGGGAGCAGAAAACTGTACAGACCAAGTTAACACGTTGCATGCGCTTTGTAGTATACCAAAACAAGTTGCTCTTGCGGTTAACATATGCTGAGTTTTTTTAGGAATATACAAGTATGAAACTTGGACATCATCAAGGAGTTTATATTATCTTTTGCTTTCAAATGTTACGTTATGTGAATATGCCTCTAGTAGCTTTGTTTTAACTTTGTACAATTTGTATCTGTGCTATAAAAAAATCCGGAAATATTTTTAACTTCAGCCAGTCATTGTATACCACAAATAAGAGTACATGTTAAAAAGGTGTGGGTAACATGCCAGCCTCACCATCACAGGTCTTGCCGTCCCCGACGAAGCCTCTCTTACACTTGCACGCAAACGTCCCATCCAGGTTCTCACACTTGGCGTCCGGATCACAGTCAGCAGTTCCCTCGGTACACTCGTTAATGTCTGCACACAACAGCATGATAATAATAATAATAATAATAATGATGATGATGATGATGATGATGATGATGATGATGATGATGATGATGATAATAATAATAATAATAATAATAATGGCGGCAGGACATGACAGTACCAGCGTGATGCTTTTATTGTAATCATTAACAACAATAATAATAAAATAAACCACATCATACATCATCGTTGCTTGCAATAATTTACGTTTCGAATTTACGTTTCAAATGGTGTAAACTTCTACAAGACACATTTGTGTACAGTTATTACCCAGTGCAATATTAACACAGCCTAGCGCTCTAACTAGTAGAGCTCAATCCTATACCGTTGTGTCCAGGGCCCCGTTCCACAAAGCGACTGTAGAGCTACGACTGTCGTAGGTCTATGTTGAAGTATGGAGCTACGATCGTCTCAGCGCAACGATCGCTTTGTGGAACGACGCCCTGGTTAGGTGTCCATCAGTGAAGCGCGGGTATTGCTGTGAGTATGTATCAGCACGTGAGAGGACAGTGCAATGTGACAAAGTAAGGGTACCTTCGCACGATGTCTTCCCAGTCTTCCTGTACCCCTCCTTGCAGGTACAGTTGAAATCCCCGGGGTAGTTGAGACACACAGCGCTGTAGGCACATCTCAGGTAGGAACACTCGTCGTCATCTGTACAACAGGACATTTACATGTACGGTAGCACGAGCAGGAGTGAGTCAGTGAGTGAGTGAGTGAGTGAGTGAGTGGGTAGGTGAGTGCGTGCGTGCGTGCGTGGGTGGGTTTTGAGTGAGTGAGTGAGTGAGTGAGTAAGTTTTAACGCCACTTTGAACTTTATTCCAGTCATATCACGGCGTGTCAGCTTAATGTGGGAGGAAAGCCCGAAGTGATGCAGGTCTCAGACGTTTACCACTTTGGTGAAACCCACGAGCACGGGTACAGTGCTGACAAACCTAGAAAATGGGGTCGAACCGGGATTTGAACCAACGATCATAGGTTTCTGGCGTGCCCAAGGGACACCCCTCTGCACAGGGAATTGCGGCGCCTGAGACGACGGGCCACTAGTGCCCTTCCACAAGCAGGATATTGTAAGCGTAAGGAATCTCATGTGCCTGTCAGCAAATCAACTCAACGCTACCAGCAACCACTGAATTATAAAATAATGTAGAAATAACCGTTTGCTCTCGGTATTCACAGCTTCCACGTAACGGCCCCTGTAAACTAGATATCAACTAAAGCTAACATCATTTCAGCTAGATCTAAATGGTAGGATATCACATGACCCTCAAGTTCATCTGACTTCGAGTAAAGTACATTTAAATGAAACATTGCGTGGCATCAGATCCGACGTTTTGTCAACTAGAATTGTCGTCGTTGATGTAACATCGTTAAAACTAGATCCGGCGTCAAAATAACAATGTGCCGTCTTTTTAACAAGATTGACATCATTTCACAAAACTTGACGTCATAGCAACTAGATGTGGGGCCGTTGCAGCTAGATCAGACATCATCGTTTTGACGTCGTAATAAACAGGTTTGATGGCCATATTATGTGTTTTCTTTTACATTTTCATTGTTCTCTGTAAGAAACAACAGTCCAGAAAGTGTTAATGTCGACTTACCGAAACACTCTCTGCCGTTGGCCCACACGTCGTTGATGCCCTGGCCCCTGATAAGGCCCTGGTAGCCTTGCTTACAGTGGCAGTTGAACTTGCTGACCCGCCTGTTCTCACACTCCGCCTCATCAGCACAGTCGTCGAAGTCCATGTTGCACACAGGAAGGTCTGACAATCACACAAACATATATCCAATATTTGTGTACAGTTATTACCCAGTGCAATATTAACACAGCCTAGCGCTAGGCACACAGGCAGCCCTGTTCACTAACTAATACACGCACGCACGCACGCACGCACGCACGCACGCACGCACGCACGCACACACACACACACATTCGTATCAGATGAAGTATCTTGAGTGAGACGTTATGTAAAATGTATCATTTCCTTTAGAAGAGTGATGTGAGTATGGTTGTACGCCGCTTTTAGCAATATTCCAGCAATATCACGGCGGGGGATACCAGAAATGGGCTTCACACATTGTACCCATGTGGGGAATCGAACCCGTGTCTTCTGCGTGGTGGGCATAGGCTTTCACCACTAGGCTACCCCGCAGCCCGCCTTCACGATAAGTTTAGCATTGATCTTATTTCAAAACTAAAGGTTCGAGCCAAACAGTTCTGGTCAAACTTTTGGTTGATAGAGAGTGTAAATGGAATATAACATGAGTAGACTTCAATATGATAGATGTTCCGTTATGATGTTCAGAAATCACTAACGCCTGAATGAAAGTGTGACATGATTTGTCATTCTGAAATCTTGACGTGGTCGATGTGAAAAGTGCACCTACCGATCTCCTGCATGCCGCAGTACAAGTCACCGATGGTCATGTTGGCCTGGGCGCCGTTACTGCCGGGGGTGGTGTAAGTGTAACTCCTGATGGGGAGGTCCGCCTTCACGCTGAGCACGCCGCCATCTTTCCTCCACACGTCATCGCCAATCTCACAGTTGCACTTCCTGCAAGCGAAGGAACCCGGATATACAACCACATCTAAGCTGTTGCCTAAGCTGTTCCCTCCATGAAATGTCACCCCCGACCCCGTAACCCTTCCATTATATCTCCATAACATGTCGTCCTTGACCCCTAGCCCCGTTATCCCTTATACTTGTGACGTGTCGTCCTTGACTCCGTGTTTACCTGTCCCATTAAATCGGTGACATGTCGACTAAGCCTCCCTGCCCTCTGCTATAATCTCTCTGACATGTCGTCCTTGACCCCAAGTCTTCCTGCACCCCGCCATTACTTCTGTGACATGTCGACTAAACCTCCCTGCCCGCTGCTATAATCTCTCTGACACATATCGTCCTTGACCTCCCTGCCCTTCCCTTACCTCTGTTGCATGTCGTCCTTGCCGCCGACTCCGCCGCACATTCCGTCGTCCCCACAGGAGCAGGTCTGGCTGCTGTCCTTGCCGCTCCCCCAGTACCTCTTGATCTGACCGTCCAACCCCTTCCAGGAGAAGGAGCCATCCTTGATAAACTGCGGAAAGAAGGGATCATACTTAGAGAATGACAAGCCAATGTTTATAAGTGTGTCGAATCCGGGATTCTAACCCAAGAATCAGCAGACCAATAACTTCTATTTCCCCTGACCGCCTCCGTGGCCTAGTGGTAGAGCGCCCGCCCGGAGAGCGGAAGGCCCGGGGTTCGATCCCCGCCTGCGTCACATACACGTGAATGTAAGTCGCTATATAAGTGCCATAATCTTGGACGCGACGTTAAACCCAATTTCACCTCACCCCATTTTTCTCCTGAAATGTTTGGAACGCCATAAATCCTCATGCAGAACGGTGCCTGGTACACACTCGGAACATCCTAACACACGATAAAAAGATTCTATCCAACAAGCTTCTAGTTAGTTGCGGACTTTCCACTCACCCCTGTCTTGAAGCAATCCACGAGGACAGGCTGGTAGCAATTTGTGGAAGTCTCGATCAGAATCCTAATTTGCTCATCGGTCAAACCTTTGTATGGGACGTCTGTCGTACCATTTGGGCTGTTTACGGGCTTATCCGGGTCGTCCACTGGCTTCACCCTAGCAATACCTGTACAGATAGATAAGTGTCAGTACCGAACTTGCAGCCATGGACCCACATGGACCCACACCCAGGGAAGATCACTCGCTTCATACTAAACACGAGATGATCACCGCTTCATACTAAACACGAGATGATCACTCGCTTCATATTAAACACGAGATGATCACCCGCTTCATACTAAACACGAGATGATCACCCGCTTCATCCTTACCCCGGGGAGATTACCCGCTACACACGGGACGAGATCGATATATATATACTTTAGCTATTAAAATAGCTGACCAATCAAAAGATGCCGCTGTGACATGGATGGTAAGTACAATCGCGGCTAGCCAACGCACCCTGTCACTATTGAAGGACTATGTTCATTCTTCTGTCAGCGATGAAAGGTTATGCCCAGTCTTCCCAAGGGATAGACGTGAAGCGAACCTATTAAAATGAGCTTTTAAAATTCGACTTCAAACATGTCAATTAATTAGGCTTAAGAGTGTATCAATTCAATGATACACTGGCTAGTACTCAATCTATCTCTTACGTCTACATTGTCGAATCAGGGTCCACTTGCACAAAGCGATCTTAGCGCTACGACTATCGTAAGCCTATGTTAAAGTATGGGAGTTACGATCATCTTATTTCTGAGATCGCTTTGTGCAAGTGGGCCTAGAAGTAGAACAGCGATCCAGCTGTCGAAGCATTCATATTCCCACCAAATGGACCCAAAGATGTTCCAAGCTGACAAGGTAAATATTCATCTGTGTGATTACTCCATGCATATTTAGAGCGGACTGTTTGGCTGCTGACCTTGTCCGGGGACGAGGTTCATGTCGCAGTAGACGAGGAAGGGAGGGATGGCGCTAGAGGGGTAGATTAGGATTTCACTGCTTGTCATCCCCATCTCCGCTGCTTCCTGGCAGTTCTTTGGCAGACCTGCAGTCAAGGAATCAGTATAGTGTACGACCGATCTCAAAATGGTAAATGGCATACCCGACATATTGTTTATTAAGAAGCACTCAATACAGTTACGGGGCATGCATATCTGACATTGCTACCATGCACATTTGATATCGTACCTTCTTTGATTCCAGATCGTGAAAGAGTTGACGAGAATGCCTAGTGGGAACGATATTCTCGTGGTTTAACTATTTTTTAGGATTCCACTGAATGCTTGGTGAGAAGTTTTGAGGTTTAAATGTGTAAATATTGGTAAAGAATTTGTAGAAAGATTCCTTTGAATTATATACGGGGTCTCTTCCAGCAGTTATCTCTAACCGAATAATTACGCCTCCCGCCGTCTTACCGTCCGGAACTCTGGAACAGTTGAGTGACGTAATGGTGGCTTTGCCTACAGCGTTCGGAGAGGTCTGTCCACCAAACGAAGCAGACACGATCGGGAGCTCGTCCTTTGCGGTAATGACGCCTCTGTCGAAGTCTCCCATTGGTCCCTTGTTGTCACAGCGACATGTGTTGTTCGTGCCGCATGTACCCAGCTTACCGCAAGGACAGCCCTTTGTCGTTATATCATCAGCCAATCCAAAACCAGGGGAGGTGTCCCCATCTGCTAATTTTAGTGATCCGATCGGAGACTCCTTACACTCGTAGAGCACTCCCTGAAATGAAGGCAATACGTCACAAAGTGACGGACTTGCTGCAGCCTTGTCCGTATATCTGGGGTTGCCTAACTGACATTATCCATAACACCTTTATAAAGATAAAAAGGGGTTGCCTAACTGACATTACCGAAGACACTTTTATAAAGATAAAAAGGGGTTGCCTAACTGTCACTAGCCATAAAACGTTTATAAAGATAAAAAGGGGTTGCTGACTCTTGCTAACAAATATTAAATAAACACATGCAAGCAGTAAATCAGGAAACTAAACCACTTTAAACATGGATTAGTCTCAGACAAAATTTGTGGTCCGGGGATGTGTCAGTCTTTCGATTGACACTTAGACGTTGGTAGAAAATGAACTTCTTTATTGTTTGTCACGAAGTTTCAGGGCTATGTCTTGACCCTTCCATGAGGGAATGGATGAAGGACAAGAAGGTGTTTCAGGGCTATGCCTTGACCCTTCCATGAGGGAATGGATGAAGGACAAGAAGGTGTTTCAGGACAATGTCTTGACCATTCCACGAGGAAATGGATGAAGGACAAGAAGGTGTTTCAGGACTATATCTTGACCCTTCTACGAGGAAATGGATGAAGGACAAGAAGGTGTTTCAGGGCTATGCCTTGACCCTTCTACGAGGAAATGGATGAAGGACAAGAAGGTGTTTCAGGACTACGTCTTGACCCTTCCTCCAGGAAATGAAAGACAAGAAGGTGTTTCAGGACTACGCTTTGACCCTTCCTCCAGGAAATGAAAGACAAGAAGGTGTTTCAGGACTACGCTTTGACCCTTCCTCCAGGAAATGAAAGACAAGAAGGTGTTTCAGGACTACGTCTTGACCCTTCCTTGAGGGATTTGGATGAAGGACAAGAAGGTGTTTCAGTGCTACTTTATATTATCAGTCAGGGCATTGGGCAAGAAGGAACCCTGAAACGTTGTGACAAACAACAAAGAAGCTATTATCCATAAAACGTTTTAAGAGGACTACAATGCTCATTGTGTAATTTATCAAGAATATAACAAACTACATTGTTTTTTATTCAGGATCATGACTTTATATGAGAAAACGTTTGGTCGTTGGATAGAATGAGATTATTCTTAATCACATATCTGATGTCCAGTTGATATATCCTCCATAGCCAATTGATGATGCATTGACAGCTGTCGGCTCCAGTTAAGTAGGGTCAAATGCTAAGCCCCTTCACTCACCTGCATACAGAACTTGGAGTGTTTGGCCAGCTCATTGAGTTGTTCTGGTGTGGCCCCAGGGTAGCTGAGCGGGATCTCAAAGTCTTTACTGCCCGTTCCTGTCACTGTCTTTGGACCACCATCAATGGGGTAAGCCTGGGGATGGGGACAAGTGACATTAACGGATTAGAAGTACAGTAAACTACGTTTATAACGAACATGTTTATAGCGAACTGACGGATATAACTATCTGTTTTTTTAGTTCCGGCCATTTGCTGTATATATGCTGTTATAACGAATTAATATTAGTGGTCCCTTGCAGTTAGTTACACCTGTAGTTTACTCTGTACATCGTAAGACGGTTGTTGTTAAGTAAGTTGTTTGTTTGTCTGTTTGTTTGTTGTTTAACGCCGTAGTCAGCAATATTACAGCTATATGGCGGCGGTCTGTAAATAATCGAATAATCGAATCTGAACCAGACACTCCAGTTAGCATCGATCTAAGCAATTGGAATATGATGACATACATCAACCAGTCAGTGAGTCCGACCACCCGATCCCGCCTCAAGCATGGGCTGCTGAAGACCAATTCTAACACTGATCATCATGGGGGGGGGGGGGGGGGGGGGGAGACTATGTGGGCCTTTTCATCACTTTTTAATAACTGTTTCAAAGAGAGACGGTAAGAAAAAAAAGGTGTTTATGAGAATCAATAAATATGTATTTGCCATCTTCAATAGAGGTAATGTAACACATTCATAGGACGGTATATATGTGCCCGAGACGTTGTTTTTTTCGGCTTCATGAGAACAGTATCTCCGAACTAAATACGTGTACTTATATCCACGCTTCAGAAGAGTAAGTGCTAACTAGAGAAGAGTGTGTTGACGATCCTTACATAAGTGTTCCTATGAGCTTCAGATAAGTGCATCTATGAATGTGGAAGGTATGTATGTGAGAAATATCAGAGGACTGAAAAGTGCTTCAGAAAAGTGTTTTGCGGAGAGTAATGTATGTTCGAATTTCGGAGGAGTTTATATATAACTTCATGTGCTTCAAAGGAACGTATCCACAAGCAGCAAAGGATTATTGTACGCATTTAAATGGGCCGCATGAACCTGCTACAGAGGAGTGGACGTACGCGTGTCCGTCAAGACTTTTAGAGCTGCGGGGCCATAGAAACGAAAGGGTACCGGGTTTAACTCATTGTGCTGTGACCTCTACAATACAACCAGCCGTCAGTCTGAGAGTTAGAGACGTGATATATGTAAATTGTTTCAGCTTAGATCGTACCATTGTAATGGCGTTGTCATTCGATTCATCAAACTTGCACACTGCGATGAAGGGGTCGACGCCGCCTGGACCGTCGGGGTCGATCACGTAGGTGCTGTTCCTCCAAAAGACGGTGCGCTTGTTGCGACTTATCATGATTTCATAGCAGTCCTTTTTGATGTCTGAAACAAAACACCAATATCAGCTGACTGCGTGGTTGAGGCTTCCTGAGTTAATAGAGGGGCGCTTTTCTCGGAGTTCAGGTCAGTAGAGATGGGGGTGGGGTGGGGTGGGGTGGGCTGGGGTGGGGTGGGGTGGGGTGGGGTGGTGTAGGGCTTGTGGTGGGGTGGAGTGGAATGGGGCTGGGGGAATACCATAACAGCAGAGTAAATACAAATACATGTCTATAACGCCAGTACATATATTGATATATAGTTTCAAGTAGCAATATCTAAGCCTAAACATGGGGAGACCAGGTTGAATTGGCAGTCGAACCGTACGGCAGCCGCAGGCTCTCTGTCTCCACAAATTCAAAATATGCGGCTACACCAACATATGTGACTACTACAGTATGTGACCGTGGGGATGCTGTGGCGGCCCTATATTTGCCATTGGCTGTAGATATTTTAGACCCCACGGCAAATGTGTCTGAGGCATTACTGAAGAGTTCTGCCAAACGAAAGATTATATTCAGGAGGAATCCGGGAGACGAACCAGTCATCAGAAGGACGCGGGCCTCCATACGTTGTGGTGACTGAGACTACTGAGCGATTAAAGTGTGCAAGAAGTCTGGTGTAGAATAACGATTCATGATTAATCCCAGCTCTGAAATATGTGGGCAGACCTACCATAACACTCAACGGGTCCCATGAAGACGTTCCTGGTCCCTGAGGAGGCCTGGAACTTGATGCGGGTGACGGGGAGGGCAGACTGGTCAATGATGAGGCCTCCATCCTTCTGACTCCCGGGCAGGTTACAGTTGCACAGCCCGTTGTTGCCCTGGCAGGGGACGCCATCTGCAGGAACAGGGCACGCCGGGAGATTATTATCATACATGCCCGACGTGATGGGTAATTTGTGGTTAATATTTACCATGCATGGGATGCTATGTTTAAATGCAGGGCATGCCGGGTAATTCATGATCTACACTGTCTATACATAGCACGCCATCTTTAAGTGCAGGGCATGTCAGGTAATTCATGATCTATACTGTCCATAAATAGGACGCCATCTTAAAGTGCAGGGTGGGTAATTCATGATCTACATTGTCCACACATTGGACGCCATCTTAAAGTTGAGGGCATGCAGGGTAATTCATGTTCTATACTGTCAATAAACAGGAAGCCATCTTTAGGTGCAGGGCATGCCGGGTAATGCGATTGACATACGTTAGAGACACCCTCACATGCAACCCAAAATACTCCCGTGTTACCTTGGCGACAACACTTAGTGAGACCCACCTTTGAGAGGCTCCACCCAGTATGGCTGTACGACACCTTCGCGGTTATACCAGCCGAACTCTCCCTCAACACGGAGGGCGGCGTCTTGGCAGGACATCTCAATCTTCTGGGTGCAGTACTCGAACTTGTCGATAAGAGGAAACATCTCCTTCAGGTTGTAGGAATAGTACTCTACAACTTTGTCGACCGGTTCGTTGGGGGGGATTGTGATATTTTGTTCCTTGGGAAACATTTGCTGAATAGAAAGAAAATCAAACATTGAGTACGTAACCTTGGAAACAATTTAATTTTGACTTTGTCGAAAGTCTAATAAAGACTTGAATAATATATTGTCAATAAGCTGCACTGACCATGGATAATGCAGCATCTTAGGTCACTGAACTTAAATCTCATAAAAACAAATGACGATACACAAATGGTAGAACACATTAAGGCTTACGGAACATCTTAAGTTACATGGCAACACAAAAATGAAAAAATAACGTGATGGCTTACAAAGACGCCTGCAGGCGGGAAGGCCCTGTAGTCACAGAAGACTGGCACGGGGCGAGGGGAGGCCCTGACGTAAATGGTTTGCGATGAACTCACGAAGGAGCTGGTTCGTGCATCCTGGCAGTTAGCGCGGACACCTGTAACATTAGTAGGACATAGGGAGTAGGGCTTCCTGTATTTTGTGTTTGTTTGTTGCTTAACGCCGCACTCAGCAATATTCCAGCTATATGGCGGCAGTCTGTAAATAATCGAGTCTGGACCAGACAATCCAGTGATTGATATTATGAGCATCGATCCACGCAATTGCATCAACCAAGTCAGTGAGCCTGACCACCCGATGCCGTTAGTCGCCTCTTACGACAAGCATATTCACCTCTTACGACAAGCATGGATTGCTGAACACCTATTCTACTCCGGATCCTATATATCACGGAATACACTAAGGGTTAAATGACAGATTGCATTTTCACATAGTTCTTCAATGGAGCAAAACAATTTTGACCTGCAAAGCCTAGTTTCTCAGTTCCTGAAAACACATGAGTATTTCGAGAATTTTCGTATAAAAAGAATATTTTTTAGAAATGAAATATCAAATCGTCGTCCCCTTGCTGTTTACATTACTGACGGAAACTGAAGTCAAAGCGCAGTCGTTGTTGACGTACCCGACACAGCGTTGCTGCACACGAGGTTGGAGACCGTGAAGGCGGCGGAGCGGCTGGGGTTGGGGTTGGCAGGATCTGTGAGGGTGCCGTTCAACTTGATGCACACCTTGCACACAGGGAGACGTGAGTTGTCCACGATGATAGCGCCGTCCTCCCGCTGCTTGCCGTCCTCGGTGTCGCAGTTACATTTGGCGGAGCGGCCGCCGTCGCACGTGCCCGTTACGCCGCACGCGCATGTGTCTACACCGCCACTTCCGGCCCAACCTTGGAATACACAGAGGTGAAATGAGAGTCGTCCTGGACACACATTGTTCTAAGCACTACGGTCGTCCTGATTCTAATGTTAAAATAAAGCAGTCATGACTGTCGTGATGCTGAGATCGGTTTCTGGAACGTGCGCCAGGGCCCCGTTCCACAAAACGACCTTGGCGCTGCGATAATATTCAGCTCATGTTAAACTAAGGGAATTACGATCACCTTAGCTCCAAGGTAGCTTTGTCAATGGGGCCCTGGTGCTTAACGATATACATGAGTGTGATAAACGGGTTGGTGTTGTCATTTAGTCTGGCCTACCTGGCTGTTTCACTCCGTCGCATGTCTCGTATGAGATGAGATCGCTGATTGGGGCGTTTGTGCACTTGAGGGTCAACTTCTGGTTGCATCTTCCTTTCGACGCTTTAACAAGTTGCTGAAACGACAACCATGAGCGTGTTACGCTTGTGTCTCACAGCAATACAGTCAAACAATACTTGCAAATAGTGAAGACCATCCTTGCACTGTCTCTGATTCACCTTGTTCTGGGGCCTCGTGGTGAATTTCCGGGACATTCTACCTCAGCACCCCCTTACACCGCCACAACTCACCACAACTTGTTCTAGGGCCACGTTGTGAACACCACTCTTACACTCACTCACAACATTTTGTTCTGGGGCCACGTTGTGAACACCTCTCTTACACTCACTCACCACAACTTGTTCTGGGGCCACGTTGTGAACACCACTCTTACACTCACCACACCTTGTTCTGGGGCCACGTTGTGAACACCACTCTTACACTCACTCACAACATTTTGTTCTGGGGCCACGTTGTGAACACCTCTCTTACACTCACTCACCACAACTTGTTCTGGGGCCACGTTGTGAACACCACTCTTACACTCACCACAGCTTGTTCTCGGGCCACGTTGTGAACACCACTCTTACACTCACCACAGCTTGTTCTGGGGCACGTTGTGAACACCACTCTTACACTCACCACAACTTGTTCTGGGGCACGTTGTGAACACCACTCTTACACTCACCACAGCTTGTTCTGGGGCACGTTGTGAACACCACTCTTACACTCACCACAGCTTGTTCTGGGGCACGTTGTGAACACCACTCTTACACTCACCACAACTTGTTCTGGGGCACGTTGTGAACACCACTCTTACACTCACCACAACTTGTTCTGGGGCACGTTGTGAACACCACTCTTACACTCACCACAACTTGTTCTGGGGCACGTTGTGAACACCACTCTTACACTCACCACAACTTGTTCTGGGGCCACGTTGTGAACACCACTCTTACACTCACCACAACTTGTTCTGGGGCACGTTGTGAACACCACTCTTACACTCACCACAACTTGTTCTGGGGCACGTTGTGAACACCACTCTTACACTCACCACAGCTTGTTCTGGGGCACGTTGTGAACACCACTCTTACACTCACCACAGCTTGTTCTGGGGCACGTTGTGAACACCACTCTTACACTCACCACAACTTGTTCTGGGGCACGTTGTGAACACCACTCTTACACTCACCACAGCTTGTTCTGGGGCACGTTGTGAACACCACTCTTACACTCACCACAACTTGTTCTGGGGCACGTTGTGAACACCACTCTTACACTCACCACAACTTGTTCTGGAGCTAGGTTTTTCCCATTGCCGTCCAGGTAGTTAATGTCAAAACACTGCTCAACCGGATTGCCACTTGTGCTTTCCAACGTATCGCCGCCTGAAAAAATCAGAAAGATCAGACAGTAAGGTGATATTCTACTGCATCTTGTTAACATACACATAATTATCACAAGTTCCGTTCACAGGTTCATGATGATTTCGAAGGTAGCGAGACAAGGGGAGACAACTACAGTACCTGGGGTTGCTGGTAGAACAGTCCGGGGAAAGTTGCAATCGACTTGGAAGGCATCCACTCCGCCGCTGCCGTCGGGGTCGATTGTGAAGCGGCCGTTTTCTGGAAGACTTTCTCCAAACTTAATCCTGTTTCTCGCAGTGCTGTACACATCCGTGCATGTTTTGAACACCTCTGGTGAAGAAAAGTACAGTATATGTACTTCGGTGCAGTGAAATACGTACCAACCTTCACGATCAAAGGGGCGAGTTTTTGTATTACTATTCTGACACACGTAAACTTTATAGGATACGCACACGAATGTAATCTATTTACAATGTAGCTGCAGTGATTTGGTGTTTTCAATAATGAAAAAAAAAAAAAAAATGTCCTGAGTTCAACAGGGTCAATATGACGTCAACAATCACATTCCGTGATCTTTATGTTTGTGACGTCATTGAATATTACGTCAACAATGTTTGGATAATGTCAGTAACGCTATCGGGGTATTTTCAAGCGTAGGTATAATAATATATTTATTATACAAAATAGTAGTATGCATTAATGTGACAATGGCGGTTGTTACCGAAACACTTAAACGGCCCCAGCTCCATATCCACGTAACCATTTCCGTCATTGTTGGCTTTAGAGAAGTCGACCTTTCCCACTGGCACTGCATTCTTGCTGGTTAAATCTCCTTCATCAACACTGAAAATATCACCAAGTGAATACTACATATTTCATATGTAGGCAATATTCAGTATAAAAGCAACTGTGATAGACAGGTAGTATTAAGCATATACACCACTGTGATAGGTAGTATGTATTAAGCATATACATCACTGTGATAGGTAGTTTGTATTCAGTATATACATCACTGTGGTAGGTAGGTAGTATTAAGCATAAACACCACTGTGATAGGTAGTATGTATTAAGCATATACATCACTGAGATAGGTAGGTAGTATTAGGTAGTTTGTATTAAGCATATACATCACTGTGATAGGTAGGTAGTATTAGGTAGTTTGTATTAAGCATATACACCACTGTGATGGGTAGGTAGTATTTAGCATAAACATCACTGTGATAGGTAGTTTGTATTCAGTATATACATCACTGTGGTAGGTAGGTTGTATTAAGCATATACACCGCTGTGATAGGTAGGTAGTATTAGGTAGTTTGTATTAAGCATATACACCACTGTGATGGGTAGGTAGTATTTAGCATATACATCACTGTGATAGGTAGTTTGTATTCAGTATATACATCACTGTGATAGACAGGTAGTATTAAGCATATACATCACTGTGATAGGTAGTTTGTATTCAGTATATACATCACTGTGGTAGGTAGGTAGTATTAAGCATATACACCGCTGTGATAGGTAGGTAGTATTAAGCATATACATCACTGTGATAGGTAGGTAGTATTAGGTAGTTTGTATTCAGCATATACATCACTGTGATAGGCAGCTAGTATTAAGCATATATACTACTGTGATAGGCAGCTAGTATTAAGCATATACATCACTGTGATAGGCAGCTAGTATTAAGCATATACCTCTCTGTGATAGATAGGCAGTATTAGGCATATACATCACTGTGATAGGCAGCTAGTATTAAGCATATACATCACTGTGATAGATAGGCAGTATTAGGCATATACATCACTGTGATAGGCAGCTAGTATTAAGCATATACCTCTCTGTGATAGATAGGCAGTATTAAGCATATACATCACTGTGATAGGCAGCTAATATTAAGCATATACATCACTGTGATAGGCAGCTAGTATTAAGCATATATACTACTGTGATAGGCAGCTAATATTAAGCATATACATCACTGTGATAGGCAGCTAGTATTAAGCATATATAGTACTGTGATAGGCAGCTAGTATTAAGCATATACCTCTCTGTGATAGATAGGCAGTATTAGGAATATACATCACTGTTATAGGCAGCTAGTATTAAGCATATATACTACTGTGATAGATAGGGAGTATTAGGCATACACATCACTGTGACAGGCAGCTAGTATTAAGCCATACACCACTGTGATAGATAGGCAGTATTAGGCATATACACCACTGTGATAGACAGGTAGTATTAAGCATATACATCACTGTGATAGGCAGCTAGTATTAAGCATATACATCACTGTGATAGGCAGCTAGTATTAAGCATATACCTCTCTGTGATAGGCAGCTAGTATTAAGCATATATACTACTGTGATAGGCAGCTAGTATTAAGCATATACACCACTGTGATAGATAGGGAGTATTAGGCATACACATCACTGTGACAGGCAGCTAGTATTAAGCATATACATCACTGTGATAGGTAGTTTGTATTAAGCATATACATCACTGTGATAGGCAGCTAGTATTAAGCATATACATCACTGTGATAGGCAGCTAGTATTAAGCATATACCTCTCTGTGATAGGCAGCTAGTATTAAGCATATATACTACTGTGATAGGCAGCTAGTATTAAGCATATACATCACTGTGATAGGCAGCTAATATTAAGTATATATATCACTGTGATAGGCAGCTAGTATTAAGCATATACATCACTGTGATAGGCAGCTAGTATTAAGCATATACATCACTGTGATAGGCAGCTAGTATTAAGCATATTGACTACTGTGATAGGCAGCTAATATTAAGCATATACATCACTGTGATAGGCAGCTAGTATTAAGCATATATACTACTGTGATAGGCAGCTAGTATTAAGCATATACCTCTCTGTGATAGATAGGCAGTATTAGGCATATACATCACTGTGGTAGGCACCTAGTATTAAGCATATACACCACTGTGATAGATAGGCAGTATTAGGCATACACATCACTGTGACAGGCAGCTAGTATTAAGCATATACACTACTGTGCTAGGCAGAGGCTCTTAAGCAGTAACATGCACATATTTCCGTGTGGCATAAGGGCGTCTTTTGATTTTGGTCGAAAAGTGTGCAGTTTTCTTTACAGATCACCAGGCAAATATCATTTTGACTCGAATATATGAAAACGGATCTCGGCAGCCAAACACATTAAAGCGGTGGAGAGAGACGCACGATTGTTTATGAGACACTCACAGTGAAGTGGTGGAGAGAGACGCACGATTGTTTATAAGACACTCACAGTGAAGTGGTTGAGAGAGACGCACGATTGTTTATGAGACACTCACAGTGAAGTGGTGGAGAGAGACGCACGATTGTTTAGGAGACACTCACAGTGAAGTGATGGAGAGAAACGTATGATTGTTTATGAGACACTCCCATTGAAGTGGTGGAGAGAGACGCACGATTGTTTATGAGACACTCACAGTGAAGTGGTGGAGAGAGACGCACGATTGTTTATGAGACACTCACAGTGAAGTGGTGGAGAGAGACGCACGATTGTTTATGAGACACTCACAGTGAATCGATGGAGAGAAACGTATGATTGTTTATGAGAAACTCCCAGTGAAGTGGTGGAGAGAGTCGCACAATTGTTTATGAGACACTCACAGTGAAGTTGTGGAGAGAAACGTATGATTGTTTATGAGACACTCCCAGTGAAGTGGTGGAGAGAGTCGCACAATTGTTTATGAGACACTCACAGTGAAGTTGTGGAGAGAGACGGTATGATTGTTTATGAGACACTCCCAGTGAAGTGGGGGAGAGAGACGGTATGATTGTTCAATAAAACACTCACAGTGAAATGGTAGACGTCTCCGAGCTGTCACACTGGCAAACATCCTCGCCTCCAGCACCCACACAGTTCTTGTGTGTACCGTTCCCGGACCAGTAGGTGTACTTGAAGTTGTTGATCAGAGCCGTCCATGTGGCGAACTGACCTACATCAACACCAACATGAACATCACCAGCAGTCCAGCATCTACCCTACGCTGACGTTTGTGTTCATATTCAACAGACAAGCGGACCAACTATAACTGTTGCCCAATAATAAATCTGTATAACGACATGCCAAAGAAATTGTTCAAAAACGTCAGATGTTAGTATCTAAATATTGTGTGTTTTGTGCGCGTCTGGCTCTTTTAGGGTTATTTTTAACAAGCGCTTGATTATGTGGTGCACATTAACAGATATAAACGTGAGAATAATGCTGGTAAGACTCCAGAATGTTTGTTTGTACTGCCTTCATTGTAATCCTGCACCATGACCGTGGAATATATTTATTTTATGAAAAAATAATAATCTTGAAATGCATACAAAAGCAAGTCTAGCCAGCTCAAGCTAGCTCTATTCCACACTCTGAAATCAGCATAGGGAAAAAAATAAATCTTTAGAGTCAAGAAGGATATTGTGTAATATAAGATTTCAGAGACTAAGTGTTAGTCTACCTTCCTTGTGTCATAGTGAAGACTACTTCAATAGGTTTCGTTAAAACTTCATTGATCCAAAAGACTATTATTTTTAATATGTTTAAAAAGTGCAAAGAAATTTATCCTGCTTTGTCTATTTAATATATTCAGTAAAATACTGTCAAGGTGGGAATGTACTTGAATGCTAGTACATTCGAAACATGGCGTTCCTAACTGCACAACTTACGGCATACATATTAAATGCTAAGCATATTGATGGATGGCATTAGTATTTAGGTAATACAAACTTGACAACTAATAACATGCATATCTTACAACTCAAGCAGAATCTCGTTTGCAGAGTCCGTAGATTTGTGTCAAAATGAAGTTAGTTTACACAAATAGGATTTACTTGAGCTGTTAATTAGCACACTGATACACAATGAGGACTAAAAGGTGTTTGCATGAACAAGGATGACAGTGTCTAGAGATGAAACAAATTCAACTATAAACAAAGAGATTGCCAACGGCGCCTACAGAGTTGCAGACGAGGAAAACTGTTTACTAGTGTTTATGGTGGGAAGAAAAACTAATAGTTAAAACACACAACGCTATCTAGAAAGTGTTCAAATGTAACAAATGTTATATTTGGGACAACACTTTCTGAGAAAAGCTGTGTGCTGGCGATTAGGTGCCTCACTCTGGCAGTGCGGGTTCGAATCCCGGACGGTACTCAATCCCACAAAAGTACGAGAATGTGTACTCTACTCAGAAAGTGTTATCCCAAATAAACATTTATTACATAATAGTGATAACAGTACCCATATTTTATAATATATTGCAACCATGAATCATAGAACGATAGCTAACCTTTGGTTTTCAACAGTTGAGAGGGTTGGTCAACAAGTGCGACAGATTGATTCATTAGGGCCCCGTTCCACAAATAATCTAAATGAGTGTTGTAAGGTTACGTTAGAGCACGGCGATAAGGTCGGCTTAGGCCAAACGTGGCTTTGTGGAACAAGGCCCCGAAAGCTATCCACTACAAGATTGGAGAGTTAAAGTTGAAACAAGGTCCCCTAAATTCATCAGATATGATTTGCTGGTGACAAGATATACATAGAGAAAACGTTGTCGTGAGATCTGCACTAACTAGGATAACTGGACAGAAAGACATATGTGATGACAAACTGTGTGGAGGCCGCGGGAGCGAGTGTCATCCCCACTGTGGTATTGTGATGCATTAAGTGAGTGAGTGAGTTGGGTTTAACGCCGCTTTTAACAGTATTCCAGTTATATCACGGCGTGCCAGCTTAATGTGGGAGGAAAGCCCGAAGTGATGCAGGTCTCAGACGTTTACCACTTCGGTGAAACCCACGCGCACGGGTATGGTGCTGACAAACCTAGAAACATAATCGGGGCGAACCGGGATTCGAACCCACAATCATATGTTTCTGGCGTGCCCAAGGGACGCAACTCTGCACAGCGAATCGCGGCGCCTTAGACGACTGGGCCACCCGTGCCCCCTGTGATGCATTGAACATAACGATAGACAGTGTCTCGACACCGACATTACACCCAAGTGAGGATTAGAACTTTGGCCTTTTCTGTGACGAGCTAATGCAGTTACCGTTAGGCCGACGACACTGATGATACGGCTGGTTGTCTAGTGACTTGTCTGATCTACACCTATCCGATATATGGTTCTAATGGGCCACAATGCAACGAGATATAGTGACTGGAGAGGGAGCAGTGTGAGGAGCTTGTTTCACACTATTTGTGGCTTTAATATGCCGCAACGCAGTGTGAAGAGCTTGTGTCAAACTAGTTGTGGCCTTAATGTGCGGCAACGCATTCAATCTAGAGATACTAGAGAGAGAGCAGCGTGAAGAGCTTGTATCACACTATTTGTGTCTATAAATTGCGGCAACGCAGTGTGAAGAGCTTGTATCACATTATTTGTGGCTTTAAATTGCGGCAACGCAGTGTGAAGATTTTTATCACATTATTTGTGGTTAAATTGCGGCAACGCAGTATGAAGAGCTTGTGTCAAACTATTTGTGGCTTTAATGTGCGACAACGCAGTGTGAAGAGCTTGTATCACACTATTTGTGGCTTTAATGTGCGGCAACGCAGTTTGAAGAGCTTGTATCACATTATTTGTGGCTTTAATGTGTGGCAACGCAGTGTGAAGAGCTTGTATCACACTATTTGTGGCTTTAATGTGCGGCACCGCAGTGTGAAGAGCTTGTATCACACTATTTGTGGCTTTAATGTGTGACAACGCAGTGTGAAGAGCTTGTATCACATTATTTGTGGCTTTAATGTGCGGCAACGCAGTGTGAAGGGCGTGTGTCAAACTATTTGTGGCTTTGATGTGCGGCAACGCAGTGTGAAGAGCTTGTATCACATTATTTGTGGCTTTAATGTGCGGCAACGCAGTGTGAAGGGCGTGTGTCAACTATTTGTGGCTTTAATGTGCGGCAACGCAGTGTGAAGAGCTTGTATCACACTATTTGTGGCTTTAATGTGCGGCAACGCAGTGTGAAGAGCTTGTATCACACTATTTGTGGCTTTAATGTGTGGCAACGCAGTGTGAAGAGCTTGTATCACATTACTTGTGGCTTTAATGTGCGACGACACAGTGTGAAGAGCTTTTTCACACAATTTGTGGCTTTAATGTGTGGCAACGCAGTGAGAAGAGCTTGTGTCAAACTATTTGTGGCTATAATGTGCGGCAACGCAGTGTGAAGAGCTTGTGTCAAACTATTTGTGGCTGTGGTGTGCAGCAACGCTATCGCGCTAGAGATACTTGAAAGAGAGCAGTGTGAAGAGCTTGTATCACACTTAATATGGCTGTAGGTGCGCAGGGAAATCAACACGTGACTGTGGCTGAATCGACAGGACTGCGGGGTTATCTATATGTTAGTAGGGCTGACTAGCTTTCAGCAGATTCGCAGCGATCCGAACAGGTGAATGTAGTTGAATTATCGTGTGCGCTTGGGTTATCAATAGGTGGGTAGAGACGATCAGCAGGGGCGCGGGGTTATCAATAGGTGGGTAGAGATGATCAGCTTGTGCGCGGGGTTATCAATAGGTGGGTAGAGATGATCAGCATGTGCGCGGGGTTATCAATAGGTGGGTAGAGACGATCAGCTGGTGCGCGGGGTTATCAATAGGTGGGTACGGAGGGATGATCAGCTGGTGCGCGGGGTTATCAATAGGTGGGTAGTGATGATCAGCTGGTGCGCGGGGTTATCGATAGGTGGGTAGAGATGATCAGCTGGTGCGCGGGGGTTATCAACAGGTGGGTACGGAGGGATGATCAGCTGGTGCGCGGGGTTATCAATAGGTGGGTAGGGGTGATCAGCTAATGCGCGGGGTTATCAATAGATGGGTTGAGATGATCAGCTGGTGCGCGGGGTTATCAATAGGTGGGTAGTGATGATCAGCTGGTGCGCGGGGTTATCGATAGGTGGGTAGAGATGATCAACTGGTGCGCGGGGGTTATCAACAGGTGGGTAGAGATGATCAGCTGGTGCGCGGGGTCAGCCAAGGAAAAGAGGTGACAAAAGTGAATCTGTGTTAAGAAAGAAGGCATTGCGCTTAAGAGCGACATTAAGCTTACGTCTGAAGCGGCGCCCTGAAACGCATTAAGCAACATTAATAACAACATGTCATCAGTTCCTACTCGCATAGTCAAACATTGATATTCTCAACTTTTGAGGTCAAAATGTAGAAAACATATGATACAAACACTCCAAACATACTACACCCCTGTTCCGGGTCTGTGACATAATGTGTGCATCTTCCCGAGGCAAGAGAGTTAACTGATTGTAAAAGTCCAGTTTCCGCCCTTGCCGAACAAGGCTGGTAGTTATGGAGTTACATTGGAGTTACATGGAGTTACCTTTTCATGTTTTGATAAAGGTGCTCTCGTGATTTAATGCACTTCGCGATGTAAGACCGTTTTATCACAACATAGATCTTGATGATCGACCATATCGTCTTGACTGGGCGCCACCGTTTTGTTTCAAACAAATGCAAGTGATACAAGAGGTGAAATCTGATTGGTCCATAGGAGAGGCTTAGAAGGGACATAACTCGTACTAACCACTGGTGGCGCTACGATCGAGTCCAGGAATTCCAGCCAAGTTCGGCAAGGGTGGAAACTGGACTTTTAAAGTCATTTAACTCTCTTGCCTCGGGAAGATGTAATTTGTGTTACCTGGAGTTTCACTCACCTGTCAAATGATGGGTTCCGTTAGACTTTAATTTTATTACAATGTGAAAATATTTACGTACACTCCCACTCTTCCAATTCTTAAAGTGATTTAAGGAAAAGTCCAAAGAATATGTAAACTTTCCAACTCGGGATTCAAACTCATCCCGAAATCAACCTGAAACTCAGTGATGTAACTTAAATACTTTTTAATGCGGTGTTAAACTCACTCACTCACTCACTCACTCACGTGTCAGCTGGGTTGCTAACATTACAACAAAATTTGATTTGCCCGGAGTGGGATAGACAAGATTCATGTTTCTCTCCAGTCCGTATTGACAGACACACCCGGAAGAGCAGCTGGTATAACTATTACGTTTCAGTATTGTAGCCCAGTGTGGACGGCACCGCGGTGTTCTGGGCGTGATGACACTTACCATTTTGTCCCGTCGGATGGAGCTGGAACTTGTTGCAGCTGAGTTTCATGTGTTGCTGGACGTACGTGCACCTTGTCTTCAAGGCCATCAGCTGGTTCTTGGTCACGAACCTGTAGTTCAGTGAAAGGGCAAGCTTGCTGCTGTCGAATCGGACCTGAGAGAACAACATGGCGTCAGCATCCTTTTACACCGCTTTTGGCAATATTCACGTACGGAGGAAACCATAAACGGAATTCACATATTTTTGGTTTGTTTCTTTGTTTGTATAACGCCACACTCAGCAGTATTCCAGCTATATAACGGCGGTCTGTAAATAATCGAGTCTGGACCAAACAATCTAGTGATTGATATGATGAACATCAATCCACGCAAATGGGATACGATGACATGCATCAACTAAGTCAGCGAACCTGACACCCCGATCCCGTTACTCGCATCTTACGACAAGCATAGTCGCCTTTTGAGCAAGCATGGGTTGCTAAAGACCTATTCTAACTCGGATCTTCACAGGTCTCACGCATTGTAACCAAGTGCGGAAGCAAACCTGGGTCTTCGACGTGAGTAAATGCTTTAACCACTTGGCTACCCCACCGCCTTAACACAAGGGATTCGTGTTAGTTGCCCTGTCGTCATAGATTGAATAAGAGTATGCTCCATCATCACGCCATGTTGCCAATGTGTGGTAATCAAGCTATCAGAAGCATTAAGTGTGTGCATGTTGTACATGATGAAGGTGATGACGTACCGTGTCCCTGACGTCGTGCTGGATGATGGTGATGCCCATCGGGGGCTCGGACTGCATCACGCATTGAGCCCGGAAGGGAGCAACGTTGGCTGCAATACGACGTGTTTGACGGTCACTAAACTGACAGTGTCATATCACCCTCACTACTGACCTTAACACAATGTCCCAAACTGAGATGCATATCTTCATACCCACAGTAACAGACCATAACATACTGTCCCAAACTGAGATGCATATCTCCATACCTACAGTAACATCCCTAAACACAATGTCCCAAACTGAGATGCATATCTCCATACCTACAGTAACATCCCTAAACACAATGTCCCAAACTGAGAAGCATATCTCCATACCCACAGTAACAGACCTTAATACAATGTCCCAAACTGAGATGCATATCTCCATACCCACAGTAACAGACCTTAACACAATGTCCCAAACTTAGATGCATATCTCCCTATCCCCACTAACACACCCTTATGACCAGACGTTCCCAGGCGTTCATAACAAATTAAAAGAGCCATGTGTATGTGAAATTATTTCTTACGACTGAAGAAAATTGTTTCACCAAAGTCTAAGTTTCCATGGTACATAATATGACAGAAGTAGTACAATATACGTGCGAGTGGTGGTGGATACACAGAAGGGTAATATTTTTCAAAATAATCCCCTCCCACATAAGTACTCTTTTGCCACCGATGTTTGAGGGATTTTATCCCATTTCGTACACCCCCTTCTCTTGGCTGTCCAAAAGGTTCCCCACTGCTTCAATGACGCTAATAGGTTCCGGCCACAGCTTTCTTCATGCTGGGAAACAGATGGAAGTGTAAGGGACCCAGAGTGAGTGAGTATGTTTTACGCCGCTTTTAGCAATATTCCAGCAATGTCACGCCGGGAGACACCAGAAATGGGCTTCACACATAGTACCCATATCGGGAATCGAACCCGGGTCTTCGGCGTGACGAGCGAACGCTTTAACCACTAGGCTACCCGAGCGCTCCATCACGGAGCCAGATCAAAACAAGGTGGAAGACGAAGGAGTTCCAAGCCACATTCGCTGATTGGCCATGGCCATGGTTAATTTGTGCACTGGAGTATTGCCATGATGGAAGAGCACTCATTGTCTCAGCTTTCAACGTCGATGGTCTCTTAGTCTTAATTTCATCCAGTAATAGCCTCAAACATGCAACCAACATGCTCCGTTTATTGTATGGCCTTCTGGAAGATTGTCCACTGTGGTGACGCCCTAGGCATCCCAGAACATGGGCTCCATAGCCTTTCCAGCTGATTGGCAGTCATTGCCTTCTGTGGTGATCAAACGCTCCCGCTGCTCTGATTTGGGCTGGAAGTGGAGGACCTAGGTTTCATCCAATGTCACAAATCGTTGCAAGAACCTTTCTTGACCAGCTTCAAACAGAGCTAGATTAACACACGACATGTGTCTTGTTCGTTTTTGATCAGATGTCAGAAGCTTTGGAACCCAAACGATCTCACTTTTTCTGCAAAAACTTGACCAGTGCACGTTCTTCAAGTTTTCCATTTTCTACAGGTCACAGACCCCTGCTTTGTTTACTGACGTATCCCAGCGAAACAATTTGCTCAACTGACTTAAGAAATTGTGGATGTACCTCTATGACATCATCTAATGTCCACAACAAATGATTTCACTATTACGCAATTCCTTCTCGGCGAGGCTCAGAACTTCTCAATCAACCCTCGTATAACAATTGTAATAAAGGCGTTCACGTTACACTTAAAACATCCAATATTGCAATTATAAGTGAACAAAACTAAATATATAAGCTGTACCGATATAATCAAACTAAGATCTTTATCACATTTCATACATTTCAAGAATAAAAAAATATATAATATATATACACATAGTACCGATTGAAAAAGTGAAGTATGCAAATATTAGAAACAAGCATCAAAATTATTTTGAAACATGTAACCCACTCCAAAAGAAAGAAAAAAGGATTAATCGAAAAATGAACAAATTTGAAACTGTCTTGTCATAAGCAGTGGTCTATCATCCGGGACGTACCCCGGGGTGACACGGGGCGTGGTCAACAGTCTTACTATGCATACGAGACATGAGACTACATCAACATTTTGCATAGTGGCGTGATTTAGTCACATTGCGCATTCGGAACGAGGCTAGCAGTCATACGTATGCATACGGCACGTGGATTACAGTCACATTTTGTGTAGGGGGTGGTCTAAGGTCATACTTTGCATATGGGGTGGCCAACAGTCATACTACTATTCGTGGACTACAGTCTATCTACGAGACGTGGACTATTCACATCATACGGGGGTGGTCTACCGTCAAACCGTGCATAAGGGGCGTGGACGACAGTCATACGCCAAATCAATGGGGCGTGGACTACAGTTACATCGTGCATACCGGGCGTGGTTTACTGTCAAAGTGTGCAAAAGGGGCGTGGACTACAGTTACATCATGCATACCGGGCGTGGTCGACTGTCAAACTGTGCAAAAGGGGCGTGGACTACAGTTACATCATGCATACCGGGCGTGGTCTACTCTCAAACTGTGCAAAAGGGGCGTGGACTACAGTTACATTATGCATACCGGGCGTTTTCTACTGTCAAACTGTGCAAAAGGGGCGTGGGCTACAGTTACATCATGCATACCGGGCGTGGTCTACTCTCAAACTGTGCAAAAGGGGCGTGGACTACAGTTACATCATGCATACCGGGCGTGGTCTACTGTCAAACTGTGCAAAAGGGGCGTGGACTACAGTTACATCATGCATGCCGGGCGTAGTCTACTGTCAAACTGTGCAAAAGGGGCGTGGACTACAGTCATACTATGATTTCGAGGCCTCACATTGTGCATGGGCGTGGTCTCGGAGAATACATAGCCATGAGTTCTCAGCTAAAGGGGTGTGGTCAACACTTCTCACAAATGAAAACAGCTGTAGACATGTGGTCAGTGCATTTCTACTGTCAAAGGAACAAGGACATCGCCATGCTCCCGACATAGATACTGAGAGGAATTAAGAACAAGAACAAGAACACGAACAAGAGCGTATTGACCACCCTGTTTGGGGTGTACTGTCGCTGGGATGGTGACGAAACACAACCTCTGCTCATCATTCTTCAAAGTAAAATAGGCTCAGGATTTGTTTTTCTTCAAGTGAGTCATCTCCTGGACAAGGAACGCTTCGGGTCTGTCGCGAAGAAGTGGCTATCGAAGCATGCATAGCGTGATAATCCTCATTTATCACTTACCACGGAAGTGTGACATATTACCACTAAGCATTGCAATTACGCTTCATTTCTTTGCCACGTTAAGCAAAAGCACCAGCTACCAATCACACGGTTTACCATCAATCCCACATTCTGGGAATTCGGATGTGATCTGTTTGTGTTATGTGTGTGAATCTTGAATACCAAGCCATATTTCTGTGAACATTCTGAATACATATTTGAAGCAGCATACTCACTAAATGACAAGCCAAATCATTCACGGACTTCAAGCAAGGACAGTGTTGCTGTTTTGTTTCCTTTGAATCGGATGTGAGAGAAGTGTGATCTCAATATAATATACTTTAAAAGGCTAGGGTAACAAACATTTACATAAAGTTTCACCGCATTCGAAAAGCCACTTCTGAAAAGTAGACATTTTTATATGTTCGCAATATTGTCGTCAGTGACTGTTTTTGAGTGCCTAAAAGACATTTATACCTTTTAATCAACATCCCTGATCAAATCTAAAGGCCGTTTTTGTGGGATAGTGCTTTCATGATGTCAATTCTCTGTGTAGTTTTGTAAATGATGCTTAAACGTTGTCGACAAGTGAAAAATAAGACTATGAAATGTTATGCACTGATGCAGAATATGATCCGTCGAATCCTCGTAATGATTCAGATCTCTTGGCCTTGGACTGTCTGGAAAGATTCTTAAAGAATCTTTCAGTGATTACCATTTAAACAATTCTTTTAATAACGCTACTTTAGCGACATGAACAACTGTTAATCCCGTTGTGTATCTACCTACTCATCATGTCGATGTTACATATTAATAGACCGTGTTGAAGTTGACATTCTTTCAAAATGTGTATTATTAGTTAAAGCCCATAATACTAGACTTATCTATGTCTGGACATTTCAACAGTATCTGTAGAGTGAATGTACATGGTTCTATATGTGTACACCATGATGGATCTGCATCGATACTCAAGTCATCATGAGGCATGGTTGCATCTGTATTGATACTCAAGTCATCAAGCGGCATGGTTGCATCTGTATTGATACTGCAGTCATCAAGCGGCATGGTTGCATCTGTATTGATATGAAAAGAGAAACACTTCTATCTTAACGAAGCTGACGTGCAAGCCGGCGCCCTGCAAACGACTCGTGGAACAGACGCTGACATCACTTACCGATCTTGCTTAGACGGGCTGAAACAGCAGGTAGGCCTCACTAGTTAAACTTCGTATTCAAGACATACGTCCAGTAATACGTCCCAAATTAGGGGACACTCATGCATTAAATGAGATGCACAATGTATCATGAGGCACGTACGAAAATCTAGCTGCATGCTTTCAAATAAGCACAATGTATCCTGAGGCACGTATCAAAATCTAGCTGCATGCTTTCAAATAAGCACAATGTATCCTGAGGCACGTATCAAAATCTAGCTGCATGCTTTCAAATAAGCACAATGTATCACGAGGCACGTATCAAAATCTAGCTGCATGCTTTCAAATAAGCAAAATGTATCATGAGGCATGTATCAAAATCTAGCTGCATGCTTTGAAATAAGCACAATGTATCATGAGGCACGTATCAAAATCTAGCTGCATGCTTTCAAATAAGCAAAATGTATCACGAGGCACGTATCAAAATCTAGCTGCATGCTTTCAAATAAGCAAAATGTATCCTGAGGCATGTATCAAAATCTAGCTGCATGCTTTCAAATAAGCACAATGTATCACGAGGCACGTATCAAAATCTAGCTGCATGCTTTCAAATAAGCACAATGTATCATGGGGCACGTATCAAAACCTCGTCGCATACTTACAATAAAGCACAATGTATCATGAGGCATATGTCAAAACCGAGCTGCATGCTTTCAAATAAGAACAATGTATCATGGGGCAAGTATCAAAGCCTCGCCGCATGCTTTCGAATAAGCACAATGTATCATGAGGCACGTATCAAAATCTAGCTGCATCCTTTCAAATAAGCACAATATATCACGAGGCACGTATCAAAATCTAGCTGCACGCTTTCAAATAAGCACAATGTATCATGGGGAACGTATCAAAACCTCGTCGCATACTTACAATAAAGCACAATGTATCATGAGGCATATGTCAAAACCGAGCTGCATGCTTTCAAATAAGCACAATGTATCATGGGGCAAGTATCAAAGCCTCGCCGCATGCTTTCGAATAAGCACAATGTATCATGAGGCACGTATCAAAACCTAGCCGCATGCTTTCAAATAAGCAAAATGTATCACGAGGCACGTATCAAAATCAAGCTGCATGCTTTCAAATAAGCAAAATGTATCCTGAGGCATGTATCAAAATCTAGCTGCATGCTTTGAAATAAGCACAATGTATCACGAGGCATGTATCAAAATCTAGCTGCATGCTTTCAAATAAGCACAATGTATCATGGGGCACGTATCAAAACCTCGTCGCATACTTACAATAAAGCACAATGTATCATGAGGCATATGTCAAAACCGAGCTGCATGCTTTCAAATAAGAACAATGTATCATGGGGCAAGTATCAAAGCCTCGCCGCATGCTTTCGAATAAGCACAATGTATCATGAGGCACGTATCAAAATCTAGCTGCATCCTTTCAAATAAGCACAATATATCACGAGGCACGTATCAAAATCTAGCTGCACGCTTTCAAATAAGCACAATGTATCATGGGGAACGTATCAAAACCTCGTCGCATACTTACAATAAAGCACAATGTATCATGAGGCATATGTCAAAACCGAGCTGCATGCTTTCAAATAAGCACAATGTATCATGGGGCAAGTATCAAAGCCTCGCCGCATGCTTTCGAATAAGCACAATGTATCATGAGGCACGTATCAAAATCTAGCTGCATGCTTTCAAATAAGCACAATATATCACGAGGCACGTATCAAAATCTAGCTGCATGCTTTCAAATAAGCACAATGTATCATGGGGCACGTATCAAAACCTCGTCGCATACTTACAATAAAGCACAATGTATCATGAGGCATATGTCAAAACCGAGCTGCATGCTTTCAAAAAAGGACAATGTATCATGGGGCAAGTATCAAAGCCTCGCCGCATGCTTTCGAATAAGCACAATGTATCATGAGGCACGTATCAAAACCTAGCCGCATGCTTTCAAATAAGCACAATGTATCATGGGACACGCATGGAAATCTAGCTGCATGTTTTCAAATAAGCACAATATATAATGGGGCACGTATGAAAATCTAGCTGCATGCTTTCACATAAGCATAATGTATCATGAGGCACGTATCGATACCTGGCTGCATGCTTTCAAAAAAACACAATGTATCATGGGGCAAGTATCAAAACCTAGCTGCATGCTTTCAAATAAGCACAATGCATCATGGGGCACGTATGGAAATCTAGCTGCATGCTTTCAAAAAAACACAATGTATCATGGGGCAAGTATTAAAACCTAGCTGCATGCTTTCAAACAAGCACAATGTATCATGGGGCAAGTATCAAAACCTAGCTGCATGCTTTCAAATAAGCACAATGTATCATGAATGTATCATGGGGCACGTATCAAAACCTAGCTGCATGCATTCAAATAAGCACAATGTATCATGGGGTACGTATCCAAACCTAGGTACAAGCTTTCAAACAAGCACAATGTATCATGGGGCAAGTATCAAAATCTAGCTGTATGCTTTCAAACAAGCACATTGTATCATGGGGCAAGTATCAAAACCTAGGTACAAGCTTTCAAACAAGCACAAGGTATCATGGGGCAAGTATCAAAATCTAGGTGCATGCTTTCAAACAAGCACAATGTATCACTGGGCAAGTATCAAAACCTAGCTACATCACTCAAATAAGCACAATGTATCATTAGGCACGTATCGAAACCTCGTCGCATACTTACAAATAAGCACAATGTATCATGAGGCATATGTCAAAACCGAGCTGCGTGCTTCCAAATAAGCATTATGTATCATGAGGCAATTATCAAAATTTAGCTGCATTGTTTCGAATAAGCACAATATATCATTGGGCACATATCAAAACCTACCTCCATGCTTTCAAATAAGCACAATGTATTATGAGGCACGTATGGAAATCAAGCTGCATGCTTTCAAATAAGCACAATGTATCATGGGGCAAGTATGAAAATCTAGCTGCATGCTTTCAAATAAGCACAATGTATAATAGGGCACGTATCAAAGCCTAGCTGCATGCTTTCAAATAAGCACAATGTATCATGAGGCACGTATCAAAACCTAGCTGCATGCTTTCAAATAAGCAAAATGTATCATGAGGCACATATCAAAACCTAGCTGCATGCTTTCAAATAAGCACAATGTATCATGAGGCACGTATCAAAACCTAGCTGCATGCTTTCAAATAAGCAAAATGTATCATGAGGCACATATCAAAGCCTAGCTGCATGCTTTCAAATAAGCACAATGTATCATGGGGTACGTATAAAAACCTAACTACATCACTCAAATAAGCACAATGTATCATGAGTACACTACAGCAGGGTATCCTTCGTGGTCTAGCGAACAGAGCGTGAACCCTGCCGAGCCTGGCATTAATTGGTTCACCTAACAAAATGTTTACAGGTAAGACCGGTGCATTCACCTGCATCACGTGACCTAACCGAACGCAACACTATTGATGTTCAAGGAAAGAAGTTTAAATCTCCTGAATAACACATTATTGATTGACATCCTAACAGTTTATAGTGAACTAGAACATCTATATACTATTTACTCTACGATCTATACTCATTCTACTCTATGCCATAACATCTAAACTAATTCTACTAGATAATATAAGATCTATTATATCACTAACTATCTATGAAGTTTTCACAAAGGCTTTACTATCTGTGGCGTCTATCCTCAGGTACAAAAAGTAAACAATTTTAATCTTTTTAATTTGACAAAATAGGCACTTCTTTGTTTATCCGGTACACTCCTCTGTTTATCTAGGCACTAAAAGTACACGCCTTTTTCGTTTATCAAGGCACTGCAGGTACACTCATTTGTTTATCTAGCCGGCTGAAGACATGGAGGATTAGATATCCTGGGCAATGAGAAGAAACACACTTCTGTTTGAAGTGAACAAACTGATCATGTTATAGCAGAAGATTCCAAGCTGACTTACCCCTCCGTCTCCGTCCTGAAATAGCACATAGTTCTCAAAAATTAAGCCATGAAATTGTTAAATAATACATTCCTCTAAACAATACGAGGGCGGTGAACACAGTTCACAATCCGGTGTAAAAGGATATTGATTCAGTGCAATGTGATGTCACCGTATTCACATGGAGCTCAGACGAAATCATTTACATGTTAATATTCATATACCGTGCGATGCCACCCGATCACACACTTAGGTTAGACACAGTACCGAGTACACAACTATCGTCTACGATGCGGGGCAACTGATTAATGTCATTACTGCCACACAAGTTCAAAACAACAGTAAACCAAAGAACGGCAAATCATTATTGATAACAATGTTGTATTTCTTGGTTTGAAGATTAGATGGAAGGTTTCTAATTCATCAATTATACACTAGATATGCAACGCAGAAATCTATATACCTGTTATACACTGTGACTATATACTTTCCACTGGTGAGAGAAATAAGAGCAGAACGTCTCTATATCATAATACAATAATTGGAGAGAACAGTTCTATATGTCAGCTATGCCCTGGTCAGAGAAAACAGTTCCGGAGCTAAGAGAGTCTATTTAGCAGCCATACGAAGAGGTCCAGAGTTAACAACGTCTATATATAAGCTATACACTGATGAGAGAAAACAGTTCAAGAGTTAAGGGCGTCTATATATATGAGTTATACACTGATGAGCGATGACGGTTTCAGGACGAAGAGAGTCTATATATCAGCTGTACACTGATGAGAGAAAACAGTTCAAGAGTTAAGGGCGTCTATATATATGAGTTATACACTGATGAGAGATGACGGTTTCAGGACTAAGAGTGTCTATATATCACTGATGAGCGAGAGTAGTTCCAGTACTAAGAGTGTCTATATATCACTGATGAGCGAGAGTAGTTCCAGTACTAAGAGTGTCTATATATCACTGATGAGCGAGAGTAGTTCCAGTACTAAGAGTGTCTATATATCACTGATGAGCGAGAGAAGTTCCAGTACTAAGAGTGTCTATATATCACTGATGAGCGAGAGTAGTTCCAGTACTAAGAGTGTCTATATATCACTGATAGCGAGAGTAGATCCAGTACTAAGAGTGTCTATATATCACTGATGAGCGAGAGAAGTTCCAGTACTAAGAGTGTCTATATCACTGATGAGCGAGAGTAGTTCCAGTACTCAGAGTGTCTATATATCACTGATGAGCGAGAGAAGTTCCAGTACTAAGAGTGTCTATATATCACTGATGAGCGAGAGTAGTTCCAGTACTAAGAGTGTCTATATATCACTGATGAGCGAGAGTAGTTCCAGTACTAAGAGTGTCTATATAACACTGATGAGCGAGAGTAGTTCCAGTACTAAGAGTGTCTATATATCACTGATGAGCGAGAGTAGTTCCAGTACTAAGAGTGTCTATATATCACTGATGAGCGAGAGAAGTTCCAGTACTAAGAGTGTCTATATATCACTGATGAGCGAGAGAAGTTCCAGTACTAAGAGTGTCTATATATCACTGATGAGCGAGGGAAGTTCCAGTACTAAGAGTGTCTATATATCACTGATGAGCAAGAGAAGTTCCAGTACTAAGAGTGTCTATATATCACTGATGAGCGAGGGAAGTTCCAGTACTAAGAGTGTCTATATATCACTGATGAGCAAGAGAAGTTCCAGTACTAAGAGTGTCTATATATCACTGATGAGCGAGAGTAGTTCCAGTACTCAGAGTGTCTATATATCATTGATGAGCGAGAGTAGTTCCAGTACTAAGAGTGTCTATATATCACTGATGAGCGAGAGTAGATCCAGTACTAAGAGTGTCTATATATCACTGATGAGCGAGCGTAGTTCCAGTACTAAGAGTGTCTATATATCACTGATGAGCGAGAGAAGTTCCAGTACTAAGAGTGTCTATATATCACTGATGAGCGAGAGTAGTTCCAGTACTAAGAGTGTCTATATATCACTGATGAGCGAGAGTAGTTCCAGTACTAAGAGTGTCTATATATCACTGATGAGCGAGAGTAGTTCCAGTACTAAGAGTGTCTATATATCACTGATGAGCAAGAGAAGTTCCAGTACTAAGAGTGTCTATATATCACTGATGAGCGAGAGAAGTTCCAGTACTAAGAGTGTCTATATATCACTGATGAGCAAGAGAAGTTCCAGTACTAAGAGTGTCTATATATCACTGATGAGCGAGAGAAGTTCCAGTACTAAGAGTGTCTATATATCACTGATGAGCGAGAGTAGTTCCAGTACTAAGAGTGTCTATATATCACTGATGAGCGAGAGTAGTTCCAGTACTAAGAGTGTCTATATATCACTGATGAGCGAGAGTAGTTCCAGTACTAAGAGTGTCTATATATCACTGATGAGCAAGAGAAGTTCCAGTACTAAGAGTGTCTATATATCACTGATGAGCGAGAGAAGTTCCAGTACTAAGAGTGTCTATATATCACTGATGAGCAAGAGTAGTTCCAGTACTAAGAGTGTCTATATATCACTGATGAGCGAGAGAAGTTCCAGTACTAAGAGTGTCTATATATCACTGATGAGCGAGAGTAGTTCCAGTACTAAGAGTGTCTATATATCACTGATGAGCAAGAGAAGTTCCAGTACTAAGAGTGTCTATATATCACTGATGAGCGAGAGTAGTTCCAGTACTAAGAGTGTCTATATATCACTGATGAGCAAGAGAAGTTCCAGTACTAAGAGTGTCTATATATCACTGATGAGCGAGAGAAGTTCCAGTACTAAGAGTGTCTATATATCACTGATGAGCGAGAGTAGTTCCAGTACTAAGAGTGTCTATATATCACTGATGAGCGAGAGAAGTTCCAGTACTAAGAGTGTCTATACATAACTGATGAGCGAGAGAAGCTCAAGTACAAAGAGAGTCTATATATAAATGATGAGCGAGAGTACTAAGATAAAATAGTTTGAGAGAACAATTTTATATATCAGCAATACACCGGAGAGAGAGAAAACAGTTTAAGAGGGTCTATATATCACATATATTCTGATGAGGGAGCACAGTTCCGGAACTAAGAACGTCTATTCATCAGCAATATAAAAATTGGAGAGAGGAATTGCAGAGCTAACATTTTCTACAAATCAACTGAACGCTGATGTGAAAAAAAACAGTTCCACAGCTGCGAGTGTCTATATCACTTTACGGATAACGAAGTACAACTCGGAAAGACAAAGCTATAACTATATCCAAGGTATACAAATATACAGGAACATAGAATTAAAGTCTATACGTCTATACGCAGACAGCAGCGCATAACTAGAGAAGACATAGCACTCTGCAGACTTACGCCTGTAGGCTCCACCTGAAAATGATATCAGTCAGAATGAAGTTTGAGGTTAAATAAAGTTTTCTTAGTGTCGTTCTATGAAAGTGTACTTTCCACGTCCTAAATCTGACGCCTCCTGAATGAATAGGTAGGGACAACGCATCACCATCTCCTTGGAGTCATCCCCGTCGTGTGTCCCAAGTACAATTACAATTGATTTTGTAATCGCAATATATAAATATAAATACAATTCCACGCAGCACAAAGAAGTGATCGCCCTACGTCATTCATCACACGTCAAACATTATATAAAACGATGAGGATTTTTCTGTCACGCAATCTCCGTGTGTTGTTGACGCGGTGTCGAGGTACATTCGTGACTGCTAAGTCAGCATTCGTGACCAACTCGTGCTATTCCGGGACAAGCCAAATAGCGACTCGTGCCCCTCTCGTGGCCAAATTGGGTTCCGTTTAAGGGCAAAAGGGCATAGTAAAAACAAATTGTCAACTCGTTTTTTTAATTATTCACGTATAACGTGTAACCCCCCCCCCCCCCCCCCCCCCCCCTTGTTATATATTTTTTCAGATGCTATTTTAACCACATCGGGATTAACGGTATTTATACAGTATGATTGATAACGTTTAACTGTATCTAGGGTATATTTTAGGGCATAAATTAGTTCTGAGGGATTCTTTGACCGAAGTAATTGAAGTCATACGCGCATTCTGATTGGTTTGTCGTATTTTCGCATTTAACATTCATCGATAGGGGGGACGAGTCTTCTTGCAGGTTACGGAAAGGAACGGGTAGTCACGAATGCCAAGCCAACAGACTTGCGGTCCATCTCAATAAGGGCAATAACGTCTGTGTTAATGATCCAATATATAGATAGCTACAGCACAAGCAGTCGGAAGGTCATGGCGCATTAGGAAACACTATAACGAAGAGCTTTGAATGGGGACGTCATGTAACGTGGGGGATAGTTGGGAGACTGAGTGGAAGGATGGTGCGGCAGATGGTGCGGCAGATGGTACGAATCGTGTAACATAGATGCTGAAAAATGGAAATCAAAATGTAAATATCACAAAATCGTCAAAATACCGTAAATGTAGGATAAGAGAAACTGGTTATCATAAGGGTGAAAATGTAAGTCAATGCCGAAAGGTCTTGAATAAGCAGACCATTTCGTCGACAGGGTCAAGGTCACAGGAAGTGACCCTACCCAGTTGCTACTCACGCCATCGTCGTCGCCTAGCCTTTCTGCCTGCAATGACGCTACGAGGTTAGCTGCCGTTAATGTCGGCTATGTTTACATGGGTAAGTTGGCAACAAAATGCCATTTCCAAGTAGAGATTTCTTATTTTGTTTAGTGAACAAATCATATTCTCTGCCCTGATATTTCAGTGTTGTTACGTATGTATCGGGCAAGACAAACTAATACCTCTCAAGGGCATAATTTCGCTGATAAAAGTAATCTGATTGCGATGATAAATTCAAATGATTATGAAAATCCTGATTTCTCATTTGAACGTGTATACCTGAAAATGTAAAGGATGGCAGAATGAGTGACTTATCTGTTCAGAATGTCACTGGCCAACTGCTGGTGGGATGAATGGTCAAGTCGGACCTATAGTTGTTTCACTCTTTAAATGTTTATTTGTTTATTTGTTGTTTAACGTCGCATTCAGCAATATTCGAGCTATATGACGACGGTTTGTAAATAATCGAGTCTGGACCAAACATGAGCATCGATCTACGTAATTATGAAAAGATTTAACCAATTAATCAACCTGACCACCCGATCCAGTCAATAGCCTCCTCTTACAACAAACAAGCGTCACTGAAGGCCAATTCGACAAAGGACCTACACGGGGGTTCTAATTTTCTCACATATTACTCAGTAATCACTTAAACAAAATTAAATTTGGGTTTCCATTACAAGAGGCTATAGAAAAAGGTAATTACAGAAACCAAACAATTTTATCAATTTCGTACAATAAATATTTAGTGTTGAGATAACAAGAGATAACATTGGCGTATTCGTTTAGCACTGTTATACGTAGAGGTACTGTTCACACACAGCATCAGTGTACGTGATATCTAATAACAAAGTTATAAAGGGAGGTAACCTCACCATTTCCGTCTGTAGGGGGACCATCAGGATCAATCAGATATGTGTAGCTGTCTGCTTTACCCAGCGACCTGTACTTCTCACAGTTGGCCTCGATTCCTGAACAACATATTACAAGATATTACAACATGTATCAGCATATATCTACATATTACAAGTCCAGTTTTCACCCTTGCCAACTAGGCTGGAATTATGGAGATGTATTTTAGCTTGAATAACGAGTCGATGGATGGTTCAATCAAAATCGCGTTACAAAATCGACATCCGGTTCATAAACTGCCGTACAGATTTCGGTCGTCTGCAGGATTTGCAAAGCACGTGTACCGTCAACTTAGCGTCAACATTTATTTTCCAAACCTTTTTATGTTATTATGAGACATACCTTGTAATAGCCACTTGGGGCGCTGCAACGAGCCCCGAAATCCCACCCTAGTTCGGCAAGGGTGGAACTGGACGCTGCTTTTAGCAATATTCCAGCAATATCACGGCGGGAGACACCAGAAATGGGCTTCACACATAGTAACCATGTGGGGAATCGAACCCGGGTCTTCGGCGTCACGAGCGAACGCTCTAACCACTAGGCTACCCCACCACCCTCAATATGATGAGAATAGACATGGACGTACCAAACTGTTCATTGCTGCAGCGGATTGGTCCAACGAAAGACACTCCTTTCTTCTGTCCATCGAATGACACGTTGATGGACACGATTGGGAGATCGTTCCTGTCGATCTGGACCCCGATGTCCTTCCTTGTCTTTCCGTCGTCTATAGCACAGTTACAGCCGGCGCCACGCTCGTCACATGTGTCCGTCACACCACACCCACATGACCCGTCTACCTCGGGAATACCCCCGGGGAGGTAGGTGAGGGGGCGGGCATCTTGACCAACTGCAACCTTCACATCCTGTTTACCGCTCTGTGGGGAAAGAGAAACACGATCACAGATGCACAGAATACTTGTTGAGGAAGCTAGATAAGATACCTGTTGAAGAGACTATCACCTGGCCTCTGCAACACCCCGCCCCTTCACCCTGCCCCTTCACCTGGTCCCCCAACCTGCCCCTCCATCTGGTCCCTCCATCTAGTCCCTCCCTCTGGTCCACCCCTCACCCTGTCCCTCCATCTGGTCACTTCACCCTGTCCCTCCATCTGGTCACTTTTAACCCGCCCCTCCATCTGGTCACTTCACCCCGCCCCTCCATCTGGTCCATCCCTAACCCTGTCCCTCCATCTGGTCCCTCCCTCACCCTGTCCCTCCATCTGGTCCACCCCTCACCCTGTCCCTCCATCTGGTCCCTCCCTCACCCTGTCCCTCCATCTGGTCACTTCACCCCGCCCCTCCACCTGGTCCATCCCTAACCCTGTCCCTCCATCTGGTCCCTCCCTCACCCTGTCCCTCCATCTGGTCACTTCACCCTGTCCCTCCATCTGGTCACTTCACCCTGTCCCTCCATCTGGTCACTTCACCCTGTCCCTTCATCTGGTCACTTCACCCTGTCCCTCCATCTGGTCCACCCCTCACCCTGTCCCTCCATCTGGTCACTTCACCCTGTCCCTCCATCTGGTCACTTCACCCTGTCCCTCCATCTGGTCCACCCCTCACCCTGTCCCTCCATCTGGTCACTTCACCCTGTCCCTCCATCTGGTCACTTCACCCTGTCCCTCCATCTGGTCCACCCCTCACCCTGTCCCTCCATCTGGTCACTTCACCCTGTCCCTCCATCTGGTCACTTCACCCTGTCCCTCCATCTGGTCACTTCACCCCGCCCCTCCATCTGGTCACTTCACCCTGTCCCTCCATCTGGTCCACCCCTCACCCTGTCCCTCCATCTGGTCACTTCACCCTGTCCCTCCATCTGGTCACTTCACCCTGTCCCTCCATCTGGTCACTTCACCCTGTCCCTCCATCTGGTCACTTCACCCTGTCCCTTCATCTGGTCACTTCACCCTGTCCCTCCATCTGGTCCATCCCTCACCCTGTCCCTCCATCTGGTCCCTCCCTAACCCTGTCCCTCCATCTGGTCCCTCCCTCACCCTGTCCCTCCATCTGGTCCACCCCTCACCCTGTCCCTCCATCTGGTCACTTCACCCCGCCCCTCCATCTTGTCACTTCACCCCGCCCCTCCATCTTGTCCATCCCTCACCCTGTCCCTCCTGCCCCCTGCCCTGCCCCCATCTGCCCCCTGCCCTGTCCCTCCAACCTTACCTGGCATTCATAGGAGAAAGTCTGGTCGCAGTGGACGGAACCCTTGACCAGTGCCTCCACGGCCGGGAGGGGCACAACGTAGTTGACTGGCTTTGACCCGGTCTCCGTGAACTCAACGACGTCCTTCCTGCAGCACAAGCCAGTAAGTGTCAATACAAGCCAGTGATTGATAACACAAGCCAGTGATGGATAACCAGTGTTATGGATAACACAAGCCAGTGATGGATAAAACCAGCGAGTGATTGATAACACAAGCCAGTGATTGATAACACAAGCCAGTGATGGATAACACAAGCCAGTGGGTTTCAATACAAGACAGTGATTGATACTACAAGCCAGTGATTGATAATACAAGCCAGTTAGTGTCAATACGAGCCAGTGAGTGTCAATACAAGCCATTGATTGACAATACAAGCCAGTGATTGATAATACAAGCCAGTGAGTGTCAATACAAACCAGTGATTAATGATACAAGCCAGTAATGGATAATACAAGCCAGTGCTAAATAACACAAGCCAGTGATGGATAATACAAGCCAGTCATTGCCAATACAAGCCAGCGATTGATAATACAAGCCAGTTAGTGTCAATACAAGCCAGTGATTTATAACACAAGTCAGTGATGGATAACACAAGCCAGTGATTGACAATACAAGCCAGTGAGAGGGTTTGAGAGAGAGACACCTACCCGTCGTGGGGTACCACCGTGACCCCCAGGTTGGAGTATGAGAAAGACACACCTACCCGTCATGGGTTATATCACCGTGACCCCCAGGTTGGAGTATGAGAGAGAGACACCTACCCGTCATGGGTTATATCACTGTGACCCCCAGGCTGGGGTATGAGAGAGAGACACCTACCTGTCATGGGTTATCACCGTGACCCCCAGGCTGGAGTATGAGAGAGAGACACCTACCCGTCATGGGTTATATCACCGTGACCCCCAGGCTGGAGTATGAGAGAGAGACACCTACCCGTCATGGGTTATATCACCGTGACCCCCAGGCTGGAGTATGAGAGAGACACACCTACCCGTCATGGGTTATATCACCGTGACCCCCAGGCTGGGGTATGAGAGAGAGACACCTACCCGTCATGGGTTATATCACCGTGACCCCCAGGCTGGTGTATGAGAGAGACACACCTACCCGTCATGGGTTATATCACCGTGACCCCCAGGCTGGAGTATGAGAGAGACACACCTACCCGTCATGGGTTATATCACCGTGACCCCCAGGCTGGGGTATGAGAGAGAAACACCTACCCGTCATGGGTTATATCACCGTGACCCCCAGGTTGGAGTATGAGAGAGAGACACCTACCCGTCATGGGTTATATCACCGTGACCCCCAGGCTGGAGTATGAGAGAGACACACCTACCCGTCATGGGTTATATCACCGTGACCCCCAGGCTGGGGTATGAGAGAGAGACACCTACCTTTCATGGGTTATCACCGTGACCCCCAGGCTGGTGTATGAGAGAGACACACCTACCCGTCATGGGTTATATCACCGTGACCCCCAGGTTGGAGTATGAGAGAGACACACCTACCCGTCATGGGTTATATTACCGTGACCCCCAGGTTGGAGTATGAGAGAGAGACACCTACCCGTCATGGGTTATATCACCGTGACCCCCAGGCTGGAGTATGAGAGAGACACACCTACCCGTCATGGGTTATATCACCGTGACCCCCAGGTTGGGGTATGAGAGAGAGACACCTACCCGTCGTGGGGTACCACCGTGACCCCCAGGCTGGGGTATGAGAGAGAGACACCTACCCGTCGTGGGGTACCACTGTGACCCCCAGGCTGGGGTATGAGAGAGAGACACCTACCCGTCATGGGGTATCACCGTGACCCCCAGGCTGGGGTATGAGAGAGAGACACCTACCCTTCGTGGGGTATCACCGTGACCCCCAGGCTGGGGTAAGATTCCATGTCGCAGTACACCAGGATGGGGTCGAGGGGGCCGTCGGGGCCGTCCACGTCAATCAGCTGTGGACCATTCAGCTTCACCTTCAGTTTCTGCTTTATCTCGTGGCAGTTCTTGAGGATATCTGAACACAAGTCCTCAAACTCATATAATGTCCCTTTGCACACCTACCCGTTGGGTAACCAATTTACGTCGTAAATGTATAATACCGAAGACTCACCTATTGTTATAGGTCAGATATTATTATCATCATTATCATTATCATTATTACCCTGCAGGCTCACCTATTGGTTAAGGTCAGATATTATTATCATTATTATCCTGCAGGCTCACCTATTGGTTAAGGTCAGATATTATTATCATTATTATCCTGCAGGCTCACCTATTGGTTAAGGTCAGATATTATTATCATTATTATCCTGCAGGCTCACCTATTGGTTAAGGTCAGATATTATTATCATTATTATTATCCTGCAGGCTCGCCTATTGGTTAAGGTCAGATATTATTATCATCATTATTATCCTGCAGGCTCACCTATTGGTTAAGGTCAGATATTATTATCATCATTATTATCCTGCAGGCTCACCTATTGGTTAAGGTCAGATATTATTATCATCATTATTATCCTGCAGGCTCACCTATTGGTTAAGGTCAGATATTATTATCAACATTATTATCCTGCAGGCTCGCCTATTGGTTAAGGTCAGATATTATTATCATTATTATTATCCTGCAGGCTCGCCTATTGGTTAAGGTCAGATATTATTATCATCATTATCATTATCATTATTATCCTGCAGTCTCACCTATTGGTTAAGGTCAGATATTATTATCATCATTATTACCCTGCAGGCTCACCTATTGGTTTAGGTCCGCACTTTAGGGGGCCAACTGTCCAGTCTACAATTCGGCCGTTGTTGTCAAACTTCACATGTACAGCCGGGAGCTCGGACTTGTCCACGATGATGCCGGTATCGATTGTTCGGGAGGGGTTTTTGCCGTCACAGTTGCAGACACTTTTAGGATCTCTACACACTCCGAGTACGCCGCACGCACACTGAACATATAATTGAAAATGATGACAAGAACGACAGAGCTAGTGTACGGAGTTTCAAAGAATTTTTTTTAATAATATAAATACGGTATTTTCCAATACCACGTACACCAGGAGTTAAGTTTCGGTTGCCCAGCCGTCTAATTCGCCACAAATCGATATGCAGAGTTTCGTCCCTTTGGCACGCCAGGAACCTATGACCGTTGGTTCGACACCCCGTTCGACCCGATTATGTTTCTACGTTTGTGCTCGTGGGTTTCACAAAAATGGTAAACATCTGAGACCTACATCACTTCGGGCTTTCCACACACATTAAACGGGCACGTGGAGATATAACTGGAAATACTGTTAAAATACTGTCACTCACCCAGAAGATAAAGTGATGGGGATCGACTACAATACAATATCGAAAGCGATGATTGGTCGACAGGAACAGAATGAGGATGCTTGTAGCAGGCACATTAGCAGACAAAAACGAAGGGGAATACATTTCTACTGGAGAGACTGGTTTACCGTATCCTGGTGCGACGTTCCCCAGCCTGTGCGTGTGTTGTTGTTATCGTTTACCCAGGTGACATGGGCCGCAAGGTCATAGTATGAAGCACACTTTATCCTGAAACATGAGAAACATCACATGAAACATGAGAAACATCACAACATTACTGTTGGATGTCAACACCTGACAGTCGGATCATTTTTGTTGTTGTTGTTCAACGCCACACTCAGCAATATTCCAGCTATATGACAGCGGTTTGTAATTAATCGAGTCTGGACCAGACAATCCAGTGATTGCCATCATGAGCATCGATCCTCGCAATTGGGACACGATGACATGCATCAACCAAGTCAGCGAGCCTGACCAACCGATCCCGTTAGTCGCCTCTTACGATGAGCACAGTTGCTCTTTACGTCAAGCATGGGTTGCTGAAGACCTATTCTACCCCGGATCTTCAAGGGTCAGTCAGATCAATAATACAATATACAACTACATATTACAATATACAACTACATCACACCGTCATATCAGGCGGAATTCACACATTCAGGTCAATAAATCGTGACGTCAATCCAGATCCACATCTCGAGCTGACCACAACGTCAGGCCAAGGTCACATTGCATCTTCTAGGGACACAATAAAGTCCCGCTCCATCAACACCATCAGCTACTGCCGGTCAACATCATGCAATCACTTCCACTCAACATCGTACAGACACTTCCGGTCAGCACTATACAGTTATATCCGGTTCATACTATACAGTGAATGAGTGAGTATTGTTTAACGCCGCTTTTACCAATATCCCAGCAATATCACGGCGGGGAACACTAGAAATGGGCTTCACACATTGTACCCATGTCGGGAATCGAACCAGGGTCTTCGGCGTGAAGAGCGAACGCTTTAACCACTATTCTACCCGACCGCCCCTCATACATACAGTCGGAATAAACGACGAGTGGTTTATTCTACCTGCATTGTTTTATTGTACGATAAACAACGACCACGTGTCAATTATTTCTCATATGAGATATCAATATTAATACGGCCCCTTTGAAGATGTTACTAAAAAATTAAAACAGTGTTCTATCATGACGTCATTTCTGGAGATTCGAACTTGATAACGTCGTAAATTGGACGACGTTATTTTTTAGAGGAAGGTGTCTAGTGAGTTGTTCCCCGTAGATGTAGCTGGGTAAGGTAGATAAACGCAATGGCGATAAACGATAGCATCCAATAGTGGGAGAGATATGACAATTGCTATTCGGAGAAATGGTTCAGACGTGCAAATTATGAGAATATGGGAGAATGACCACATTTACCCCCCATTTTCATGTGTAAGATATTACAGAGATCGGATTCTATTCAGGGAGTCATCGTTATTAAAATACAGGTAAATATTTTTGAAGCATGTACAATTTATTAGCATCCCTCAACAGGCCATACATACTATTGATATCTCATATAAGAAATAAGCCATCGTCGTTGTTTATCGTACAATAAAACACTGCAGGAAGAATAAACCTCTCGGCGCTGCGCCATTTATGGTTTATTCTCCCTGAAGTGTTTTATGGTACGATAAACAACTCCCACTCGTTTGTTTCTTAAGTAAGATAGACCCCACACAATTAACCACAAAACATACCAGAATTCCTGAGAACAGAAATGAGAGCCTTCCACTAGAGGCTTTATCTGGTCTGGTGTAGCGATGTAGGGCACAAGGAGATCTTCGCCAGTTCCTTTGGACTTCTGGACATTCTCGTCTTTAGGGAAGATCACCGTGATACCCATGTCTTTGCGCATGTCACAGTTCACCTACAACAGTAGGAGCTTACATATGAACAGTATGTACCCTGTTAACTGTTTGTGAATAATAACAAGGCGCTGACATCATCAACAAATGTGACCCACCGGGAAAAAAGGGACCTTATTGGTGCAAGGATACAATTGTGCTATGACGTCATAAAGACGTTTGACGTTAACTTACATGGGAAATCACCGTGTGCGTGGACTGTACAAAAATATCTTATTTCTCTCTCGTTAGTTCGTAAGGTAATAAAAACTTTATGTCAAAACCTTTCAGCATACATGTCTATTTTCAATTCATCAGACATTATGTCTAAAAACTGCAATTATTACATAAACAGTTAAAGGTCGGAACATGACTCCAAATGTTTGATGTCATGTATCTCTGTAATAAATATGAATTGAAGTTTGTGAATTGTATTCTTGTGTTCCGGAGATATTGTAGTTTTAAACTGTGATTTTTCATCTAAAAGGTCCCTTATCTCATGGTTGGTCAGATATAGTGTTTACTGGTCACAAGGCACACAGTACATCACCATCTATAAGGTCCCTTATCTCATGGTTGGTCAGATATAGTGTTTACTGGTCACAAGGCACACAGTACATCACCATCTATAAGGTCCCTTATCTCATGGTTGGTCAGATATAGTGTTTACTTGTCACGAGGCACACAGTACATCACCATCTATAAGGTCCCTTATCTCATGGTTGGTCAGATATAGTGTTTACTTGTCACGAGGCACACAGTACATCACCATCTATAGGGTCCCTTATCTCATGGTTGGTCAGATATAGTGTTTACTGGTCACAAGGCACACAGTACATCACCATCTATAAGGTCCCTTATCTCATGGTTGGTCAGATATAGTGTTTACTTGTCACGAGGCACACAGTACATCACCATCTATAAGGTCCCTTATCTCATGGTTGGTCAGATATAGTGTTTACTTGTCACAAGGCACACAGTACATCACCATCTATAGGGTCCCTTATCTCATGGTTGGTCAGATATAGTGTTTACTGGTCACAAGGCACACAGTACATCACCATCTATAAGGTCCCTTATCTCATGGTTGGTCAGATATAGTGTTTACTGGTCACAAGGCACACAGTACATCACCATCTATAAGGTCCCTTATCTCATGGTTGGTCAGATATAGTGTTTACTTGTCACGAGGCACACACTACATCACCATCTATAAGGTCCCTTATCTCATGGTTGGTCAGATATAGTGTTTACTGGTCACAAGGCACACAGTACATCACCATCTATAAGGTCCTTATCTCATGGTTGGTCAGATATAGTGTTTACTTGTCACGAGGCACACACTACATCACCATCTATAAGGTCCCTTATCTCATGGTTGGTCAGATATAGTGTTTACTGGTCACAAGGCACACAGTACATCACCATCTATAAGGTCCCTTATCTCATGGTTGGTCAGATATAGTGTTTACTTGTCACGAGGCACACAGTACATCACCATCTATAAGGTCCCTTATCTCATGGTTGGTCAGATATAGTGTTTACTTGTCACGAGGCACACAGTACATCACCATCTATAAGGTCCCTTATCTCATGGTTGGTCAGATATAGTGTTTACTGGTCACAAGGCACACAGTACATCACCATCTATAAGGTCCCTTATCTCATGGTTGGTCAGATATAGTGTTTACTTGTCACGAGGCACACAGTACATCACCATCTATAAGGTCCCTTATCTCATGGTTGGTCAGATATAGTGTTTACTGGTCACAAGGCACACAGTACATCACCATCTATAAGGTCCCTTATCTCATGGTTGGTCAGATATAGTGTTTACTTGTCACGAGGCACACAGTACATCACCATCTATAAGGTCCCTTATCTCATGGTTGGTCAGATATAGTGTTTACTTGTCACGAGGCACACAGTACATCACCATCTATAGGGTCCCTTATCTCATGGTTGGTCAGATATAGTGTTTACTGGTCACGAGGTACACAGTACATCACCATCTATAAGGTCCTTATCTCATGGTTGGTCAGATATAGTGTTTACTTGTCACGAGGCACACAGTACATCACCATCTATAAGGTCCCTTATCTCATGGTTGGTCAGATATAGTGTTTACTTGTCACGAGGCACACAGTACATCACCATCTATAGGGTCCCTTATCTCATGGTTGGTCAGATATAGTGTTTACTGGTCACGAGGTACACAGTACATCACCATCTATAAGGTCCTTATCTCATGGTTGGTCAGATATAGTGTTTACTGGTCACAAGGCACACACTACATCACGATGCTATATCGCGGCGAGGTGTCGGAGCGGGACATGCAAGTCTGGAATATGACTTCAGAAAAATCACACGAGAAAACAATTATTGTTTAGCGAAACAGACAATACAATAACCAGTAAGTGGACACTGAAATATGCTCATGAGGTGAGTGTTCTTTTTCGAAGGGTAACGGGCCACCCCCATTCACTATATATATGTTTTATTTGTTTAAAATGAGAATAGATTTTACAAGCGTTTATAACAGGCCGAAATACAAATTGTTCAAAGTGGACAATTTTTTACCAACCATATAATTATCTCCGTTGTGAATACGAATTAAATGGGTTTATACACGCGGGAAACATAGGGTGAGTCAGTGACAGAGGCAGGCTAACTCAACCATGTGTCCAGTGGGGGTACGTCGGCCATGGACGTCTTCAGAAGAGGGTTATACAGGAAACTATGGTTATATCGAACACGCTTATAACTAACTGACGGATATAACGAACTGTTTTTTGGTCCCGTCCATTTGCTGTATATATATGCTGAATGTATATGCTTATAACGAACTACGGTTATAACGAACTAAACTTAGTGGTCCCTTTGAGTTCGTTATAACCGTAGTTTACTGTATACTGAAAGTTGTACAAAGGGAATGCGTCGGCCATGAAAAACCGTCAACGGTAGGGTCTAGCGGTCAATTTAGATCTAGAGGCAATACATCCCCAAAAGCAAATGAAACTGCAGTAATGTTTTTCGAACGTAATTACATTCTAATGTTAAAAAAGATCGCAAACATCAGTCCCGGCCCACTATTTGAAAAAAAGTAGCATAAATAAATGCTAATGGTATATTCTGAAGCTTCCATTGGCCCTTTTTCATAATGGAAATTGATTTCGTCGCTTTTATTTGTAAATATAGAGCACACTTTATGTGATCAAGGTCAATTTCCTGGGCGATGACACGACTGAAGTACGTGCAACAGTTGCTGTGGCATCTATGGAATACTGTAAGAGACATTATCGCGTTGTCGCGATATCCCCGATCTCGAGATGTTGACCTTTGGAAACAAGCTAAATATGCAAAACGTTCGAGAATTTGACAAACACTCGCATTCTCGCACTTTTAACCACCTATTTATCTTGTTTCAAGAGGTCGAGAACGCGAAAATGTCCCTTACGTTATTCCATAGTATCTGAAAAATATCTCACCTCAACGGGTTTGACGGGCCCAGTGCCGTCGGTGTCGATTGTGTACTTTCCAGACGGGGACGAGGAGGCGTTTCGGAAGATTTCGTCGCAGCTTGTTGGCAAACCTGCATTATTGATCAACTTGTGTTTATAACCTGGCTGACTTCTGTTCCATGTTCGTGGTGACTCAAGGACAACAGTGTATATGGAGGATTACTTCCACCATCCCATAATTTCACAAATCGCGAATAAAAGTTCGTTAACAACTATAAAACTAAAAGCTTAGGTCATGGCGTTGTTCAAATGTGACTTCGTTTTACCAACCATCCACTTTTAGAGATAAAAATATATAAACTGACGATCAAAATAAAGCATACATCAACACCAGCACGTCAAACTGGACAACGTCGAGACTCGCAACGTCGAAACTGGCAACGTGTGCTCTTTTCTCATGAGAGCAGGTTCCAGCAGTTCAGAGCCGACGTCAAAACACGCATGAAGCGACGTGGCCAGAACCCGTATCGTCCCCAACCCCCAATGAATGAACAGAGCATGTACAGGCACTGAGAGAGGAATGAAGGGCAATTCCTGAAGTCGTCATAAGACGCTTACGAACTCCCCAAAGTCGTGTGCACGCTTGCGTGCTTGCACAAGGACGAGTTAAACGCTACTTAATCATTGACGTCCATTTAGTGACAGTTATTATCAAGTTATTAACATATCGTTACACAATGCAGTGTTCTTGGTAGCGAAAGAATGCTGTGACGTTGCATTATGGCGCGTCACGTACATATATTAAGCCGTCCTCGAATTTTAATCATATGTTCTGACAACTGACAATGTGAACGTCAGTACACATTCATTGGTGCTGTTTTTAAGAACTACACCTTTTACTATACTAGAATACAAACGATGACGCACGTTCGCATAATTTGCCGTCCCCGCTGAAGCCGTCTTTGCAGACGCAGGTGTAGTCACCCTCCGTGTCTTGACAGTTGCCGTCCGGGGAACACTCAAACAACCCATCCGTGCACTCGTCGATGTCTGTTGTCATATATAAAAAATAACATTTACACGTGCACAACACAGTCATGCCATAACACAGATATAACAATGCACGTGCAGCTATAAAGTGTTACCTAGACGGCTGTTTCTCCACGTGCATATACTTCAGTCATTATACATGTATAACACTAAACATGTGACCAGTACTTGTATTTCATGTGCAGCCACTGCGATTATAAAACGCTAAAAACTGCACGTTCAGACACTACTTTATCAAACTGATTTCGAGCTCAGGAAAATACTTTGGTCCAATGGGTGGTCATTATATTTGCCAGGTTGAGAACATTTTATACGCTGATAAACTAGTGTTTTGCGTCGTGAATGTCTCGTGCTTCGTGAAACTTGTACATATCAGGATGGCAGGCCCAAACCACCAACACTTGACTGCACGAACCGTTCAGTTTATAGAGGTGTGAAAGTCTCGTGCTAACTGAAACTTGCATATTTCAGCATGGCAGACCTTAAACAACCAACACTTGACTGCACGCCCCGTACAGTCCATACGCTACCGTGCTACCTGCTTCGAATGTGAATGGTGGAGTTTGTGCGACCTGCAGTGTATAATTCGTAGAACTCGGGTTTCCATGTGCTCTATGATAGACAGAAAGCTTGTGCCAGCACTGTATCGGGATATGAAGCTACTGTCGCGAGGACATACGACAGTAGGTTTATATCCCGATAAAGCATTGGCACTCGCCCTCTACCTATAACATAACACTGCATGTACAAATACTATTGCACATACAGAAACTATGGCCATAACACTATCATAACACTGCAAATACGGCTACCATAACACTGATATGCCAATGTGTGGTAAGCTATACGGTTATAACACTTCACGTTACGCTACTATGGTTATAACACTGATATGACAATGTGTGGTAAGCTATACGGTTATAACACTTCACGTTCAGCTACTATGGTTATAACACTGATATGACAATGTGTGGTAAGCTATACGGTTATAACACTTTACGTTCAGCTACTATGGTTATAACACTGATATGACAATGTGTGGTAAGCTATACGGTTATAACACTTCACGTTCAGCTACTATGGTTATAACACTGATATGACAATGTGTGGTAAGCTATACGGTTATAACACTTCACGTTCAGCTACTATGGTAATAACACTGATATGACAATGTGTGGTAAGCTATACGGTTATAACACTTCACGTTCAGCTACTATGGTTATAACACTGATATGACAATGTGTGGTAAGCTATACGGTTATAACCCTTCACGTTCAGCTACTATGGTTATAACACTGATATGACAATGTGTGGTAAGCTTTACGGTTATAACACTTCACGTTCAGCTACTATGGTTATAACACTGATATGACAATGTGTGGTAAGCTATACGGTTATAACCCTTCACGTTCAGCTACTATGGTTATAACACTGATATGACAATGTATGGTAAGCTATACGGTTATAACACTTCACGTTCAGCTATTCTGGTTATAACACTGATATGACAATGTGTGGTAAGCTATACGGTTATAACACTTCACGTTCAGCTACTATGGTAATAACACTGATATGACAATGTGTGGTAAGCTATACGGTTATAACACTTCACGTTCAGCTACTATGGTTATAACACTGATATGACAATGTGTGGTAAGCTATACGGTTATAACCCTTCACGTTCAGCTACTATGGTTATAACACTGATATGACAATGTGTGGTAAGCTTTACGGTTATAACACTTCACGTTCAGCTACTATGGTTATAACACTGATATGACAATGTGTGGTAAGCTATACGGTTATAACCCTTCACGTTCAGCTACTATGGTTATAACACTGATATGACAATGTATGGTAAGCTATACGGTTATAACACTTCACGTTCAGCTATTCTGGTTATAACACTGATATCACACTTCACGTTCAGCTACTATGGTTATAACACTGATATGACAATGTGTGGTAAGCTATACGGTTATAACACTTCACGTTCAGCTACTATGGAAGCAACACTCACTGTCACAGGATCCGACGCCGTCCCCAGCATAGCCTGGCTGACACTTACACTCCTGGTTCTCGCATATGCCGTTAGCGTGGCAGTCACGGTTGACGCGACATTTGACTGGAAAACAGACATGGAACTAAGGTAACGCTCTGAATCATCTACGTCATATTCCTTTGTCAACATTGGCTTTAACAGATATACAACAATTAGAAAGAAGTTACACTTTTTTAATATAGGAGATAATCTGTATAAAGGGATTGCGTTCATTTATGCAAACTAATTCTTCAATAACTGTAGGATTAGACTAACGCTAGGATTAGACTAACGCTTAATCTATGAAGACATACAATTTTGATAGAAATACAAAACCCATTTAAATTAAAAAGGAGCCCCCCTGAAATGCCTGAATCATAGGAAAATCTAGACTTGCTTCACGGGTGTCCTGACATTTTTATTAAAGTCGCTAGTTCGCATTTTGCAAAACAGATATATACTGCTAAAATTTGTAAATCTGAAATTTCACAATATTATATGTTAGCATTTCGAAGAGTGTTCTATGTTTGTTATCCATATTTGCTCATGGATATCTTTCGATATAGAGTTAACAAGCATATTTAACAGACAAGTCTGTGATGTTCATATATACCTTAACACCAGTAGGTAAAACCTTTCCCCCAAATATTGCCATTATGAATATACACTAAAAGTGATCATTCCGAGGCTAAGAGTTTACCATAAATAATACTGCTTTTAACTAGATGACAATCTACTAAGCTCTCAATAAATCATGCAATTATAAGTGCTTTTCCTGAAGGCACAATAATTTTTAAGGAATCGTAAATCTACATTTTCAACACAAGATGAGTTTTCAAAACTCCATACTTCGTTACCATTTAGGAGTAACTAAATTATCAAAGAGTCATTAAAAAACAATCAACAGACAGATTTAGTTTTCGACTTTGTCTTAAAACGAAAAGCATAACTTTGGCTGCTTTTTCATTCAGAATTATCTTAGTCTTTGTAAATTCATTAGTTTTCTCAGCAGTGACACCACCGTATTGACAAGAATCAATATTATCTGTTACATCATTATCAACTTTGTGTATGATCCTCTGTCTAATTCACTTACAGATGCACTCATCCCCGACACGCTCGAACTTCGGCAAACACGTACAGTTGTAGGAGCCAGGCGCGTTGTGACATAAGGAATATTTGGGACACGGGTTCTCTATGTCGCATTCGTCAATGTCTGGAAAAAAACGCAAACACATTTACGTCATGACTGTAAACCGATCTATTCAAATCCAAAACATTATTTGACATACATCTTACATTTCAACATACATTTTTCCAAGTTATATTCAAACGTAAGGGAATGAGACATGATAGCTACAGTACCGTTACAGGTGGTGAGACATGTGAGCTACAATACCGTTACAGGTGGTGAGACATGTGAGCTGCAGTACCCTTACAAGTGGTGAGACATGTGAGCTGCAATACCGTTACAGGTGTTGAGATATGTGAGCTACAGTACCGTCACAGGTGGTGAGACGTGTGAGCTACAGAACCGTCACAGGTGTTGAGACATGTGAGCTACAATACCGTTGCAGGTGTTGCCATTCCCCTTGTAGCCGTCCTTGCACTTGCAGGTCCGGTTGTCACAGTTGGCGTATGGGTGGCACCCCGTGTTGTCATGGCAGTTGTAGATAACTGCGGAGGAAAGATCACAACACGTCACCTTCCATACAACTGTTGTTCATAGCTCTAACACTGACACTACCACGCGCCGTCTGACATACAGCTGTCACTTACAGCTTTAACACAGACGCTTCCACGTCCCCTCTAACAGACAGCTTTCACTACCAACCTCCCTCTAACAGACAGCTTTCACTACCACCCCCCATTTAGCATACAGCTGTCACTACCACGCCGCTTCTAACATACAGATGTCACTACCAAACCCTTCTGATATACAGCTGTCACTACAATACACCTTCTGATATACAGCTGTCACTACAATACGCCTTCTGATATACAGCCGTCACTACAATACTCCTTCTGACACACTGCTGTCACTACAATACTCCTTCTGATACACAGCCGTCACTACAATACTCTTTCTGATACACAGCTGCCTCTACAATACCCCTTCTGATATACAGCCGTCACTACAATTCTCCTTCTGATATACAGCTGTCACTACAATACGCCTTCTGATACACAGCTGTCACTACAATACCCCTTCTGATATACAGCCGTCTCTACAATACGCCTTCTGATACACATCTGTCACTACAATACGCCTTCTGATATACAGCCGTCACTACAATACTCCTTCTGATATACAGCCGTCACTACAATACTCTTTCTGATACACAGCTGTCTCTACAATACCCCTTCTGATATTCAGCCGTCACTACAATACTCCTACTGATATTAGGCCGTCACTACAATACGCCTTCTGATACACAGCTGTCACTACAATATCCCTTCTGATATTCAGCCGTCACTACAATACTCCTTCTGATATACAGCCGTCACTACAATACGCCTTCTGATACACAGCTGTCACTACAATACCCCTTCTGATATACAGCTGTCACTACAATACTACTTCTGATACACAGCTGTCACTACAATACACCTTCTGATACACAGCTGTCACTACAATACTCCTTCTGATACACAGCTGTCACTACAATACCCCTTCTGATACACAGCTGTCACTACAATACTCCTTCTGATACACTGCTGTCACTACAATACCCCTTCTGATATACAGCTGTCACTACAATACTCCTTCTGATATACAGCTGTCACTACAATACTCCTTCTGATATACAGCTGTCACTACAATACCCCTTCTGATATACAGCTGTCACTACAATACCTCTTCTGATATACAGCTGTCACTACAATACCCCTTCTGATACATAGCTGTAAAACATGCTTAAACAGTAAGAGCGTGATGATGTTAAACTGTTAGCACATCGGGTAATCTTTCCTTATAAATAGGTCATAAAGTCTTGACTAATCAGCTTTAAAATAATCTGACAAAGTTACAAAGGAATATCTACCGATTTAACGCTATAACAGTTTACAAATTAGAGTATACATATATAACGAAAAATATTAGTGAAAAAAAATCATGCTTCAAACTGTTCAAATAAAAGAGATTGTCTGTCACAAAAATTACATTCTTTCAAGTTGTTTTTCGAACATTCATGTAAGGTTTTAATTTTTGAAAAATGTCAGGTTTTGCAGTTGTTGCTGAAAAAATATCTAATTACAGACACAATCGGAATGTGAAATGGTCGGTCCCTCACGGGCGGAAGACATGCTACACCAGATCAGTAAGGACTGTGTTCAATATACGACCCGACCCGCTATACTTACTTTTTCCACAGCCGGTACCGTTTTTGAGACCGTCTCCAGTGTTCGGTTCCGGACATTTGCAGTACGACTGGTTGTTGATCAGCTCAGTACAGATGGCCTCCAGGTCGCAGTAGAGGAACTGGTTCTTGGAGCAGTTGCCGTTGAGGGGCGTGGAGTAGTTGGGTGCGCTTTGTTCCACGATGGTGTCTAATGACGCACCTGCAACAGCAATGCAACACACAACTGAGCAAACAATGTTTGTGACAACACACACGGCATCAGATCAAACACTGTTTGTGACAACACACACGGCATCAGATCAAACACTGTTTGTAACAACACACACGGCATCAGATCAAACACTGTTTGTGACAACACACACGGCATCAGATCAAACACTGTTTGTAACAACACACACACGTCAGATCAAACACTGTTTGTGACAACACAGACACAGCAGGTCAAACACTGTTTGTAACAACACACACACGTCAGATCAAACACTGTTTGTGACAACACAGACACAGCAGGTCAAACACTGTTTGTGACAACACAGACACAGCAGGTCAAACACTGTTTGTGACAACACAGACACAGCAGTTCAAACACTGTTTGTGACAACACACACGGCATCAGATCAAACACTGTTTGTGACAACACACACGGCATCAGATCAAACACTGTTTGTAACAACACACACACGTCAGATCAAACACTGTTTGTGACAACACAGACACAGCAGGTCAAACACTGTTTGTGACAACACAGACACAGCAGGTCAAACACTGTTTGTGACAACACACACGACATCAGATCAAACACTGTTTGTGACAACACACACGGCATCAGATCAAACACTGTTTGTAACAACACACACACGTCAGATCAAACACTGTTTGTGACAACACACACGGCATCAGATCAAACACTGTTTGTGACAACACACACGGCATCAGATCAAACACTGTTTGTAACAACACACACACGTCAGATCAAACACTGTTTGTGACAACACAGACACAGCAGGTCAAACACTGTTTGTAACAACACACACACGTCAGATCAAACACTGTTTGTGACAACACAGACACAGCAGGTCAAACACTGTTTGTGACAACACAGACACAGCAGGTCAAACACTGTTTGTGACAACACACACGACATCAGATCAAACACTGTTTGTGACAACAGACAGGGCATCAGATCAAACACTGTTTGTGACAACACACACGGCATCAGATCAAACACTGTTTGTAACAACACACACACGTCAGATCAAACACTGTTTGTGACAACACAGACACAGCAGGTCAAACACTGTTTGTAACAACACACACACGTCAGATCAAACACTGTTTGTGACAACACAGACACAGCAGGTCAAACACTGTTTGTGACAACACACAGGGCATCAGATCAAACACTGTTTGTGACAACACAGACACAGCAGGTCAAAAACTGTTTGTGACAACACCCAAGACATTAGATCAAACACTGTTTGTCTCTTTTATTAACTTGATAATGTCAAGCCTCAAATAAAACGTGCTTTCGGCAGTTGTCACATTCACACAGGCGGCGAATGGTTGCCAGAAGGTAAACTCAACACAGCATGATCCGAACATGCTTACAGCACGTGTTGAACCAATGTACACATAAGTCTTCTTTTGCTTAACGCCGCACTCAGCAATATTCCAGCTGTATAACGGCGGTCTGTAAATAATCGACAATCCAGACAATCCGGTGATTGACATCATGAGCATCCATTCAATTGGGCTGGTTGGTTGGTTTGTTGTTTAACGCCGCACTCAGCAGTATTCCAGCTATATGACGGCGGTCTGTAAACAATCGAGTCTGGACCAGACAATCCAGTGATTAATATCATGAGCATCGATCCACGAAACTGGGATCGATGACATGGACCAACCAAGTCAGCGAGCATGACCACCCGATTCCGTTAGTCGCCTTTTACGACAAGCATAGTCGCCTTTTACGGCAAGCATGGGTTGCTGAAGACCTATTCTACCCCGGAATCGTCATGGGTCTCATGCAATTGGGATACGATAACATGCATCAACCAAGTCAGCGAGGTTGACCAGCAAATCCTGTTACTCGCCTCTTACGACAACCAAAGTCTCCTTTTACGACAAGCATGGGTTGCTAAAGACCTATTCTACCCCGGATCTTCACGGGTCCAGAAGTTTGTCTTATATTACATGACAGTCCAGGGCGGTGGGGTAGCCTAGAGGGTAAAGCGTTCGCTCGTCACGCCGAACCCCTGGGTTCGATTCCCTCAATCCCTCCGTGATGTTTCTGGAATATTGCTAAAAGCGGCATAAAACCAGCTCACTCACATGCCTAGTGCCTGACAAACGACATCCAGTTGATACACTAAAATGCATCCAATCCAATGTAAGACATATTCTTAAACATTACTTTTTAATGCAGTCGTGATTAACCATTGTCGAAGCGCATACAGCCAGAAAACTGCAGCATATACCATGTGGCGTGTGACGCTGTAGGCGCCATGTGTTGACGAGGTGGAAATCTATACATGCCAAATGTCAAGCCCTCAACGTGATCAACCGTTTCTCTACAATGGCAAGGGTTACATGGGAAGGTATGTAGGTCGATATATGGTAATGTCTTCCTTTCATTCCGCATATGGTTGCGTGATGTTTTTTCATATGTTAATACCATGAGGAGGTTTATAGGAAACATCATATTCAACATCATAATACCACATCCAATGTATAACCTGGCTGTCAGTGTCACCTGGGCTCGAAACCTAAACGTGGCACTCCTACCTCTTGAGTACCATTTAGGTTCTGTCAAACCACTTCTACCAACAAATGGTCGATTGTAGCATTGACATCATCAAGCTGTCTAGGTTTGATTTTAAAAGCTGTCGCAGCAGCATCCGACTTGTCCTTCAGTGTTGCTGCACTCAATGTACTTTTAAGTCCTTTGATGCATTTTTTTGTACTTTTCAAAATAAATAGATTAATAAAACGTACTGTGAAGTTACACCATGTTGCGATATTGGAATGGGGCAGATGGTTTGATGCCAGGCGGTTGCAATAAAATGCATCAATCAACTCAAAAATCTGTCTGATTGTCTGTGTGTTGAGCTCGATTTATACCACTTCGAATAATGTTTCAGTTATTTTATGGCGTGTTGGAACGAGAACAGGTGTAGGTCTCAAACGTTTACCATTTTGAGGGATTCCAGTTGAATTGGTAAGTTGCTGAAAAACCCAATAGCGTAATCGCACTCTGGCACGACTTTGGATCGCAACAGCGAACTGATACGTCTTAGACAACAGGTCGACATGTTTTTACACCAGTCAGATGTTTGGGTACAAATAACCCACATATCGTTGTTTGTTTGTTTGTTTGTTTGTTTGAAGTGTAACGCCGCAATATTCCATATTATATGACGGCGGACTGTAAATAATCGAGTCTGGACCAGACAATCCAGTGAGCATCGATCTCATCAATTGGGATACGATGACATGCACCGTGTCAGCGAACCTGACCGCCCGATCTCGTGGATCGCCTCTTACGACAAGCATGGGTTGTTGAAGGCCTATTCTATCCCGGATCTTCACGGTCACTACACAGTGTAGGCCATTCAGAAACCATTGCCTCTGTCGGAATGATTAGCAGAGGACGTAGCTATACAAAAATCTGCTTGGCCAATCAGAAGGTTTTGACAACGAAAAACATGTATTGCAATGACCAATCATGAGACATAACTGCGTAATGACAAAATAGTGAGTGAGTATGGTTTTACGCCGCTTTTAGCAATATTCCAGCAATATCACTGCGGGGGGACACCAGAAATGGGCTTCACACATTGTACCCACGTCGGGAATCGAACCCGGGTCGTGACGAGAGAACGATTTAACAACTAGGCTACCCGACCGCCCCTTAATTACAAAATAGACACAATTTATGGATAATAAGTGCTTGACAAAGGTTTAAGGATCTACAACGAAACAATATATTATAAAAAATAAAAAAGTATATCAAAGACTTGTTAATCATAAATTGTGTCTACTTTGTTATCCGTCAACTTCAAATGCTTATCCAACAATGCAATGGAATGGCTAATCTGAAGACTTGGGTGCGTAAAATCTGACCAGTCAGAATACGTGTACCTACCCAGCTGAAGAGTTACTGCCAGGACCAGGCCCAGGCAGCCAATCAGCGCCCAGTTTGCTTTAATCATTCTTTAGGCCAGCCTCATGAGATGGATCTGCAAAAAACCAATGTTCTTTAAATCTTTGAAAAACTAATTTCATTTATATAACTATATTATGCTCTAATGTAGCAGACATAGTCGTACATCTCATGTAAATGATTATATATGACCATTTCCTTTTTCACTGAAGACATGGAGTGAACTAAGGCATGGTTAGTGAAGATAGGCACCATCTACATCTATGACGATGTTTCACCTGCCTCAGCAAGGCCTCGGGAAATATTTCAAAAGGTTTTATGTAGACATGTGGAGGACATTTCCAAATTTGACGCTCCAGTGACGAAAATGATGTCCAAAGCAAATTCCCTATTTTGACTTGTACCATATTGCTCAAGGTGAACAATTGCATGTTTCTGTGGTGGGTGCTAACGGTTGGGCAGAATGCGCTCATCTTTTCACGACCACTTGGTGTCATCATTATTTGATAGAGTTTCATGTTTATACTATAGAATAGCTTATAATAGTTATTTGCTCATGATTGCGGAGATGTTTTTGTCGCTTTTTATTCATATTGTAGACATCCTGGAACTGAACCTTTCAAAGTGACCAATTGCCCACTTGCACAAAGCGATCTTAGCGCTACAACTGTTGTAAGCCTATGTTTAAGTATGGGAGTTACGATCATCTTAGCGCTAAGATCGTTAATTGCAAGTGGGCCCAGGTCGTGGACGCTCATGACACTCACGAGCACAGGTATTGGGCCTATTTGAAGTCGGTGATTCGAACTTCACTCACTATTAAACACAGCATGTTACCTGGTATACGTATGTTCCGCTCAATGAAATCCTTGACTCATTGCTACTTCCAATGCATGACCACTCACCTAATGTACCACAATGGCCAAGTGCTGACAGCTTAATATATCAATAATGAAAAGCAATAAACATATCTATGGATTACCATGAGTGAGTGAATGTTGTTTAACGTCGCAATCACTTTCCAGATGTATCACTGCGGCATATCTGAACCAACACATACCAGTGACTGAAACATACCAGTGACTGAAACATACCAGTGACTGAAAGCATGAACAGCCTAGTCTCTGGACCAGACCACGCAGTGTCTAGTGCCTGACAACCCACATCCAGTTGATACACTAAGATGCATCACGGCGGCAACAACACATACCAGTGACTGAAGGCATGAACAGCCTAGTCTCTGGACCAGACCACGCAGTGTCTAGTGCCTGACAACCCACATCCAGTTGATACACTAAGATGCATCACGGCGGCAACAACACATACCGGTGACTGAAGGCATGAACAGCCTAGTCTCTGGACCAGACCACGCAGTGTCTAGTGCCTGACAACCCACATCCAGTTGATACACTAAGATGCATCCAATCCAATGTCAGACATATACTTAGACATTACTTTTTAATGCAGTGGTGCTGAACCATTGTCGATAGGCATACAACCAGAAGGCTGCACATGTGGCGTGTGATGCTGTAGGCAAGGCTTACATTGGAGTGAGTGAGTGAGTGAGTGAGTTGGGTTTAACGCCGCTTTTAACAGTATTCTGGTTATATCGCGGCGTGTCAGCTTAATGTGGGAGAAAGCCCGAAGTGATGCAGGTCTCAGACGTTTACCACTTCGGTGAAACCGACGAGCACGGGTATGGTGCTGACAAACCTAGAAACATAATCGGGGCGAACCAGGATTCGAACCCACAATCATAGGTTTCTGGCGTGCCCAAGGGACGCAACTCTGCACAGCGAATCACGGCGCCTTAGACGACTGGGCCACCCGTACCCCCGGCTACATTGGAAGGAAGGCAGGTCGATGTATGGTAATGTCTGCCTTTCCGTTCCAGATATGTTTCAGTGATGACCCAATCCCGAGGATTATCAATGCTGACGACAAGAATGCTTTACTGAGGACCAATTCTTCAAAGGAATCCCTAAAGAGGTTGTGGAGTGTCATCACTGCCTACAAACAGTTATGTCTAAACAAAAGTAATACTTTTAGATACACGATAAATGCCTATCAAACAAGACAGCTACTGGAAGAGCTCCAAGCAAAGAAGATATCAAGCTGAAGGGCTACCAAGCAAAATAGACAGCAGGTACCTGAAGGGCTACCAAGCAATGAAGACATCAAGCTGAAGGGCTACCAAGCAAAGAAGACATTCAGCTGAATGGCTACCAAGCAAAGAAGATATTCAGCTGAAAGGCTGCCGAGAAATGAAGATATTCAGCTGAAAGGCTGCCGAGAAATGAAAACATTCAGCTGTAGGGCTGCCAAGCAATGAAGATATTCAGCTGAAAGGCTGCCAAGCAAAGAAGACATTCAGCTGAAGGGCTACCAAGCAAAGAAGACATTCAGCTGAAGGGCTGCCAAGCAAAGAAGACATTCAGCTGTAGGGCTACCAAGCAAAGAAGACATTCAGCTGAAGGGGTCAAGCAATGAAGACATTCAGCTGTAGGGCTACCAAGCAAAGAAGACATTCAGCTGAAGGGCTGCCAAGCAATGAAGACATTCAGCTGTAGGGCTACCAAGCAAAGAAGACATTCAGCTGAAGGGCTGCCAAGCAAAGAAGACATTCAGCTGAAGGGCTGCCAAGGAAAGAAGACATTCAGCTGAAGGGCTGCCAAGCAAAGAAGACATTCAGCTGAAGGGCTGCCAAGGAAAGAAGACATTCAGCTGTAGGGCTACCAAGCAAAGAAGACATTCAGTTGAAGGGCTGCCAAGCAATGAAGACATTCAGCTGTAGGGCTACCAAGCAAAGAAGACATTCAGTTGAAGGGCTGCCAAACAATGAAGACATTCAGCTGTAGGGCTACCAAGCAAAGAAGACATTCAGTTGAAGGGCTGCCAAGCAATGAAGACATGCAGCTGTAGGGCTACCAAGCAAAGAAGACATTCAGTTGAAGGGCTGCCAAGCAATGAAGACATCAAGCTGAAGGGCTGCCAAGGAAAGATGACAGCAGCTAACTGAAGAGCTACCAAGCAAAGAAGACATTCAACATCAGTGACGATGTTTCACCTGCCTCAGCAAGGCCTCGGGAAATATTTCAAAAGGTTTTATGTAGACATGTGGAGGACATTTCCAAATTTAATGGCCCAGTGACGAAAATGATGTCCAAAGCAAATTCCCTATTTTGACTTGTACCATATTGCTCCAGGTGAACAATTGCATGTTTATGTTGTGGGTGCTAACGGTTGGGCAGGATGCGCTCATCTTTTCGCGACCACTTGGTGTCATCATTATTTGATAGAGTTTCATGTTCATACCATGGTGTAGCTTATAATAGTTATTTGCTCATGATTGCGGAGATGTTTTTGTCGCTTTTTATTCATATTGTAGACATTCTGGAACTGAACCTTCCAAAGTGACCCATTGCCCACTTGCACAAAGCGATCTTAGCCCTACAACTATTGTAAGCCTATGTTAAAGTATGGGAGATACGATCATCTAAGCGCTAAGATCGTTAATTGCAAGTGGGCCCAGGTCGTGGACGTTCATGACACTCACGAGCACAGGCATGGGGCCTATTTGAAGTCGGTGATTCGAACTTCACTCACTATTAAACACAGCATGTTACCTGGTATACGTATATTCCGCTCAATGAAATCCTTGACTCATTGCTACTTCCAATGCATGACCACCCACCTAATGTACCACAATGGCCAAGTGCTGACAGCTTAATATATCAATAATGTCAAAATAGGGAATTTGCTTTGGACATCATTTTCGTCACTGGGGCGTCAAATTTGGAAATGTTCTCCACATGTCTACATAAAACCTTTTGAAATATTTCCCGAGGCCTTGCTGAGGCAGGTGAAACATCGTCAGTGACTGAAACATACCAGTAACTGAAAGCATGAACAGCCTTGTCTCTGGACCAGACCTCGCAATGTCTAGTGCCTGACAACCCACATCCAGTTGATACACTAAGATGCATCAAATCCAATGTCAGACATATACTTAAACATTACTTTTTAATGCAGTGGTGCTTAACCATTGTCGATAAACATACAACCAGAAGGCTGCCGCCTGTCCACTGTGGCGTGTGGTGCTGTAGGCGCCATGTGTTGACCAGGTGGAAATCTATACATGCCAAATGTCAACCCCTCAACGCGATCAACAATTTCTCTACAATGGCAAGGGTTACATTGGAGGTGAGGTGAGGTGAAATTGGGTTTAACGTCGCGTCCAAGATTATTGCACTTATATAGCGACGTGCATGTGTGTGTTTTTATGGCTGCTTTGAACTAGTCCGGACTGATGCCGATTTTTAGTGCTAGCCCACTGAGATACCATGCCGCAGTTTAACATGAATACCCCACTCAGACACAGTATACTGACTCCGAGCCGACCAGTCCTTGTTTTAGCCCCTTAATGCCGAGCGCCAGACAGGGTAACATCAAGTACCATCTTTTAACGTCTTTTGGTATGACGCGGCTGGGGATCGAACCCCGGACCTTCCGCTCTCCGGGCGGACGCTCTACCACTAGACCACGGAGGCGGTCGGGTTACATTGGAAGGTAGGCAGGTCGATGTATGGTAGTGTCTGCCTTTCCGTTCCAGATATGTTTCAGTGATGACCCAATCCCGAGGATGGTCAGTGCTGACGACAAGAATGCTTTACTGAGAACCAATTCTTCAAACTTAAGGAATCCCTAAAGAGGTTGTGGAGTGTCATCACTGCTTACAAACAGTTATGTCTAGATTTTAGATACAAGATTAATGCCTATCAAACAAGCAACCAAACCAAGCAAAAGAAACTGCAGCTTTCTTAAGGGCTACCAAGCAAAAGAAACTGCAGCTACCTGAAGGGCTACCAAGCAAAAGAAACTGCAGCTACCTGAAGGGCTACCAAGCAAAAGAAACTGCAGCTTCCTGAAGGGCTACCAAGCAAAGGAAAATGCAGCTTCCTGAAGGACTACCAAGCAAAAGAAACTGCAGCTACCTGAAGGACTACCAAGCAAAAGAAACTGTAGCTACCTGAAGGGCTACCAAGCAAAAGAAACTGCAGCTTCCTGAAGGACTACCAAGCAAACGAACTGCAGCTACCTGAAGGGCTACCAAGCAAAAGAAGCTGCAGCTACCTGAAGGACTACCAAGCAAAAGAAACTGCACCTACCTGAAGGACTACCAATCAAAAGAAACTGCAGCTTCCTGAAGGACTACCAAGCAAAAGAAACTGCAGCTACCTGAAGGGCTACCAAGCAAAAGAAACTGCAGCTACCTGAAGGACTACCAAGCAAAAGAAACTGCAGCTACCTGAAGGGCTACCAAGCAAAGGAAAATGCAGCTTCCTGAAGGACTACCAAGCAAAAGAAACTGCAGCTACCTGAAGGACTACCAAGCAAAAGAAACTGCAGCTACCTGAAGGGCTACCAAGCAAAAGAAACTGCAGCTTCCTGAAGGACTACCAAGCAAACGAACTGCAGCTACCTGAAGGGCTACCAAGCAAAAGAAACTGCAGCTACCTGAAGGACTACCAAGCAAAAGAAACTGCACCTACCTGAAGGACTACCAATCAAAAGAAACTGCAGCTTCCTGAAGGACTACCAAGCAAAAGAAACTGCAGCTACCTGAAGGGCTACCAAGCAAAAGAAACTGCAGCTACCTGAAGGACTACCAAGCAAAAGAAACTGCAGCTACCTGAAGGACTACCAAGCAAAAGAAACTGCAGCTTCCTGAAGGACTACCAAGCAAAAGAAACTGCAGCTTCCTGAAGGACTACCAAGCAAAAGAAACTGCAGCTACCTGAAGGACTACCAAGCAAAAGAAACTGCAGCTACCTGAAGGGCTACCAAGCAAAAGAAACTGCAGCTTCCTGAAGGACTACCAAGCAAAAGAAACTGCAGCTACCTGAAGGACTACCAAGCAAAAGAAACTGCAGCTTCCTGAAGGACTACCAAGCAAAAGAAACTGCAGCTACCTGAAGGGCTACCAAGCAAAAGAAACTGCAGATTCCTGAAGGGCTACCAATCAAAAGAAACTGCATATTCCTGAAGGGCTACCAAGCAAAAGAAACTGCAGCTACCTGAAGGGCTACCAATCAAAAGAAACTGCAGATTCCTGAAGGACTACCAAGCAAAAGAAACTGCAGCTACCCGAAGGGCTACCAAGCAAAATAAACTGCAGCTTCCAGAAGGGCTACCAATCAAAAGAAACTGCAGATTCCTGAAGGTCTACCAAGCAAAGACGACAGCAGCTACCTGTAGGGCTACCAAGCAAAAGAAACTGCAGCTTCCTGAAGGGCTACCAATCAAAAGAAACTGCAGATTCCTGAAGGTCTACCAAGCAAAGACGACAGCAGCTACCTGTAGGGCTATCAAGCATAGAAGTATATGGAACGAATTAATCCGTTGGAACAAACCTATTGACGTTCGTGTTGATCTGCAAAGCGTCAGTATTTTAAGGTAAGTAAATATATATACAATGTCAATATAAGTATGTATTAATACATGCAAATATATGCAGTATGTTCTTTAAGCGCATTAAATGTGTAGCATTAGGATTATATTGACTATAATATAATATGTAATATATAAGAGATTAGTGGGAGTAACGTGATGTTCATGTTTATGCAGGACTTACATTCTCACCCCCGTTTCACCACGTACGACCGACAGACATTTGTTTGTTTGTTTGTTTAATGCCGCACTCAGCAATTTTCCAGTTATAGGACGGAGGTCTGAAAATAATCGAGTCTGGACCAGACAATCCAGTGATTGACATCATGAGCATCAATCCACGCAATTGGCATACGATGACATGCATCAACCAAGTCAGCGAGCCTGACCACCTGATCCTGTTAGTCGCCTCTTATGACAAGCAAGGGTTTGCTGAAGACCTATTCTAACCCGTTTTTTCAGGGGCCCCTGTCGACAGACAGCCATGATGGAGGCCATAGGATGGGAGGATGTCTAGCGAACACATATAAAACATCGCAACTCATGGTTTAATCATGCAAATCAGACATATACTGTTTTTTTCCGTGATTTAGAATAAGGGAACAAACGAGTTGTATGTAACTATCGTGAGGTGTGCTATACCGTGTCGTTGCATCTGAACACAACATCTAATCATAATGAAATTTCATATCAAGCATGAACACACAGAAGTGTGTGCCCCTAGAGGGGAACTCTCGACCACTATTGCAACTGAGCCAAGAACACGCTTAGAAATGTCTCAGGTACAGTACCTCAATGAAAAGACAAGATGGCGAATTGTGGGTACGATAGAGAGGGGACGTCAATATCGCAAGTCAAAATGTTTGGCAAATCAAAAAGTGTCGTTTCTCGACCGTCAAACAAGTTGGGTTGCAATGAGACCTAGGCGTGGCAGGCCTAAAAATCGACATCTAGACAAGAAGTGCACTACGCAATACGTTCAAATCTGCTCCTGTTATCACTATTGAATTCCGTACAATAACAGGAAGGTGAATTTAAACATCTCCCGTTGAAAACCGACGTTAAGCAGCCCGCCTGAAAGCAAGGCGTCCTGTAAAGTTTGTGGCCCTAACAGCTTACCATATAGGCGGCAAAGTGGGATGGGCTAAACATCACCAGGGACGGCCTGTGCGCCAATGGCGTTGCACCATGTTTACCGACTAATCAAGGTTTTGCCCCCGATTCACAGATGGCAGAAAACGTTGTTGGCGACGTATCGGCGAGCGGAATGCCAGGGCAATATTTTTTTACCAGGATCGGTATGGAGATGGGATGTATGACACATAACAGGCGAACTAATTTGGTTATTGTGAATGGACATTTGACTGACCATCGATATTTTGACGAAATATTGCTCCCTGTCGTTCCAGAAATTTTGAACTGCAAGATGACAATGCCAGACCACATCGTGCCAAGGTCATCACGATGGTCTCCGACAATAAGGCATACGGACATTGGACTGGCCCGCTAAGTCCCCGGACATTTCCCCATAGAGCATCTGTGGGATGTTCTCGGACGGAGGGTGTGCGCCAGAGACCTAGAACCCGCTGATGTGGCCAGCTTGGGCAGCTCTACAGGCGGAATGGCGGCAATACCAAGGGCAACCATACGCACGTTAATCAACACTATGCCATCAAGGTGTCGTGCACTCACTCACTCACTCACTCACTCACTCACTCACTCACAATCAGCCTCCTGTAACGTAAGTCGGGCGATGCTGTACGTTGGCTACGGTCCAGTTGTTTTCACGCTACTTTCAGTGGTAGACATTTACCAGTTTCAAGACACAGGTGGAATATAAACCTTAAGCTACAGTCACACAGACAATGCGAACGCGATGTAACCTCTTGGCGACTGGTTTCTTTTGCGACCGACTTCGATTGCTGACACCGGTGCAACCTCTTCTGCCCATATTTGGAATCAGGGTATGATCGCCGGTCAATCAGCGATATGTTTTGCAACTTGTAAGTGATTGATCGGCAACTGTTCACCGCAGATACGCCGAAATATTAGTTGAGACCGATCGGTGACTAGTAAGCGAATCTTCGGTGACTTGTTGCAACTGAATGGGGACTTGTCGGTGACTAGTTGTCGATCGATAACCGCTCAAAACATGATGGTAAATGAATCAAATCATTTCTTTGCATCACCGCCTCATCACTGATCAATCACAGATGGGTTGCCATTAGGTTGCAAAAAGTCGACGAGTAGGCTAAAACCGATCGTCGTAGGGAGAAACCAATCTGTGATTAAAATTACACCACTTGGGGACCTCTTGGAGAACAATGAAACCTCCGAGCGACCACATCGGTCGCAGCCAGTCTTTCCTGCTTGTTCAAAATACTGGTTGCGACCCAATGGGTTTTTCGACAGCACTGAAACCTTGTTGCGATTTCAGTAAAACCTTCCAGAGACCCCTCGAACCTCATTCCGATTGTCAAATATTTTGGTCGCAAGGAGGTCGCATCGCGGTCGCATTGTCTTTGTCCCTGAGGCTTTACCAAACAGGTAGCATCTCACCTAGTTGATGAGAGGATGAGCTGGATTAACGGGATTTGAGTAGTATTCAGTTATATATAGGCGTTGGCGACGGTTAAATTGCTTGTAATAAATTTGCAGCAGAACCACACTTTGAGTCAATAATCTTAAAAACACATTATGAAAAACTCACTCATAACGCCACCCCAACTTTTTAGAAATACAAACACACAAGATTAAAACAACATCATTCGTATACAAAAGCCTAATGTTGCCATCTAGGTGGCATAATTATATTTTTCTCATTATTTCAAGTTTATTTTCGAAATTTCGAGGTTTTTCTAGTTATTTCGATTATTTTTTAGTAACAAATGTTATTTTTGGGGTATGTGGGATTTGTGTTTTTAAATCTTTAGTAAATTTGATAATTTTCTCGTTTTTTCAATTTTAGATATTTCTGCATTAAATTTCGAATTGTTTCTTGTTACTTCGATATTTTCACATTTCCGTTATATTTGAAATAATAATCGCAATTACAAGACAGTAATCAAGTAACGAGAAAAAAATCGAAAGTTCGATTTTTTTCAAATAGAATTGAAATCGAAATTAACGAAAACAAATAATAGAAATAACGAGAAATTTCGATTTAAAAAGAAATACGCTACCAAAGTGGCACTATTAGGCTTCCGTAATGGTATGACTACCTTTAGCTCTGCCACGTGTAGGGGCGAGTGACAAGGGGTGAAGCCACGTGACTAATCACAGAAGTATCTAACGTAGTAGTCTCTCTTGGTGAGGGTCGTAGTGGATGTTGACACGTACAGCATCGATCTAACTCTCAATAAAACTTAGCCCCGTTCTCACTCAATAAAGTCTTTGTTGTCCTTATAAAGACTTATCGACTACTTCCCACTATGAATACAATGGATAGATGAACCCACAAGATTTCTAATACACTAGGGCCATAGAGTTGAGTTAGCGTAAAATGTCAACAATATATTTACTTTAGGAGTTTCATTTGTACGATAACCATGAGGGATGAGAGTATTCATTCCAGATTTCTTATCTAAGGCATGGGAGCTCAATTTCAGTTGTGCATCACTATTCTCCTTAGTTCGAGATTTATATAAGGCCAACCATTTGAGGTTCGGGAGTGGGGTGTAGGAGGGGTTAGGGGATTTTGAATTTTGTATGGAGACAGGATTATTCCAGTTACAGCTGCAACACCACACTCGATGAGTATTATTAGCCTAAATTCTATTTTCTTAAAAAGAAATTTATTTTTGGTGGCAGACAATATACCTGTCTGAAGCATGCACTACATTACTCGGGTACATAGTTACATGGCTAATATGGCAACATTACTCAGGTACATAGTTACATGACTACATTACTCGGGTACATAGTTACAGGCTTAGTATGGCTACATTACTCAGGTACATAGTTACATGGCTACATTACTCGGGTACATAGTTACATGACTACATTACTCGGGTACATAGTTACATGGCTAGTATGGCTACATTACTCAGGTACATAGTTACATGACTACATTACTCAGGTACATAGTTACATGACTACATTACTCAGGTACATAGTTACAGGCTTAGAATGGCTACATTACTCAGGTACATAGTTACATGGCTACATTACTCGGGTACATAGTTACATGACTACATTACTCGGGTACATAGTTACATGGCTAGTATGGCTACATTACTCAGGTACATAGTTACATGACTACATTACTCAGGTACATAGTTACATGGCTACATTACTCAGGTACATAGTTACATGACTACATTACTCAGGTACATAGTTACATGACTACATTACTCGGGTACATAGTTACATGGCTAGTGTGGCTACATTACTCAGGTACATAGTTACATGGCTACATTACTCAGGTACATAGTTACATGGCTACATCACTCAGGTACATAGTTACATGGCTACATTACTCGGGTACATAGTTACATGACTACATTACTCGGGTACATAGTTACATGGCTAGTATGGCTACATTACTCAGGTACATAGTTACATGGCTACATTACTCAGGTACATAGTTACATGACTACATTACTCGGGTACATAGTTACATGGCTAGTATGGCTACATTACTCAGGTACATAGTTACAGGCCTACATTACTCGGGTACATAGTTACAGGCCTACATTACTCGGGTACATAGTTACATGGCTACATTACTCAGGTACATAGTTACATGGCGAATATGTCTACATTACTCAGGTTCATAGTTACATGGCTAGATTACTCAGGTACATAGTTGCATGGCTAGATTACTCCGGTACAGAGTTACATGGCTAGTATGGCTACATTACTCAGGTACATAGTTACATGACTACATTACTCGGGTACGTAGTTACATGACTACATTACTCAGGTACATAGTTACATGGCTCGATTACTCAGGTAATTAGTTACATGACTACATTACTCCGG